CAAAGGGATTCAGCTTTTTCTAAAAGACTTGTACGTAATAGAACATGTTTGAGTCTTTTCTTCCTAAAACACTGTATGAAAACGTGTAGCACCAAAAGTGATAATAATGATAATCATGTATTTGTTCATGAGAAAAACGAAAATATTCCAACGATTAGCATAAAGTCATTAAAATAGTCCTCTCTCAAAGGTTTCTTCTGGCACATCACGGACCACCATTACGACACAACCTACTGGTCTGAAATGCGGTCCTGTAATGACGAAGTTCCTGTGCGGGGCATCTATGGCGACTACTGGTGCGACTCCCCCTGGCGGCTCGTCAACGACAGCATCAACGCAATGGCCGACATCAAGAAAAATGTTGATTTTATCATGTGGACTGGGTACAGTATAGTGGACATAAAAAAGCCTGAAACTTAAATTTATGATTTTATTATTTATATGACTTTTATTGTTTGTTGTTGAACGCCTCACTCGGCAATATTCCAGCTATATGACGGCGGTCTGTAAATAATCGTGTCTGGACCAGACAATCCAATGATTGACATCATAAGCATCGATCAACGCAATTGGGATACGATGACATGAATCAACCAAGTCAGCGAGCCTGACCACCCGATTGACTTTTTAGAGTTTATGGAGTTGTAAACGTGAAAACCGGTGTCCATGCCGTGTAAATTATAGTGGTCTGCGTAAATCCGAATAGCGGATGTACGCAGTTTTTGACTTTTTTGACTCCATAAGTGCAAAAACACATTGAAAGCAATTCTCATAAATACATACGGCAATATTAATTTCACAGATTGCTTATTAAATTACGAACACTGTGGACAAAAGTACGGTGGTTGGTTGGTTGGTTTGCTTGCTGTATTACGCCGCACTCAGAAATATTCCAGCTAGATGACGGCGGTCTGTAAATAATCGATTCTGGACCAGACAATTTGACATCAATAGCATCGATCTACGCAATTGGGATCAATGACATGCATCAACCAAGTCAGGGAGCCTGACCACACGAACCCGTTAGTCGCCTTTTACGACAAGCATAGTCGCCTCTTAATGCAAGCATGGGTTGCTGAAGACCTATTCTACCCCGAATCTCCATGGGGCACGAATTTAGTGACATCGTTCAGCGCAATAACGCAACACAAGCCTCGCCCATTCTAGTTTATCAGTAGTCCGTTAGTGGGCGTGGGCTTATTTTTGGTTTATTTCAAAATAATTGCTTCGTTAGCCAATCAGATGCGATGGAGTCACATTCAGTTCCATTCGTGACCAACTCGTGTTATTCCGGGACAAGCCGAATAGCGCCTTCTTGTCGTAGCGCTGTCTGATCTCAAACGGGAACCATAATCGGCTGTGTGTGAACCTGGCCTTAGACACTAACTTGAGTAACTTCAGACAGCTATGATGATGTCGTACCCTTCGATGTTTCAGTGACACAGTGGCCCACATCAAGGACAAATATCTCAACGAGTCTTTTAATCTGGAAATTATGAAAGTAGTGACTGACGCCCTGAAGGCGGCGTTCCCGGGGGTCAAGGTGTACGCCACAATGGGGAACCACGACTGGTACCCCTCCGACCAATTCCCCGTCATCTCGCACTCCCTGTACAATGCCACTGCCGACCTCTGGGAAGACTGGATTGGTGATGCAGAACAGATGGCGAACTTCCGAAAAGGTACACTGATTTTTTATGTAACCAGAATACGTCTGTATTCTTTTGTCGTTGTTGTTTAACGCAATTATCAATTTTCCAACGGTAATTTGGCGGCCTTCAAAGAAGAGCGTAACCATCCACGTCGTCGGTGCATGATGGCACACTGTCAGCCATGTCTCTTTGTTTGTTTGTTGAACGCCGCACTCAGCAATATTCCAGCAACATGACGTAAATAATCGAGTCTGGACCAGACAATCCAGTGATTGACAACATGGTAATCGATCCACGCATTTTGGTGAGTGAGTGAGTTAGTGAGTTGGGTTCAACGCCGCTTTTAACAGTATTCCAGTTATATCGCGTCAGCCTTATGTTCGAACCCACAATCATAGGTTTCTGGCGTGCCCAAGGGACGCAACTCTGAACAGCAAATCGCGGCGCCTTGGACGACTGGGCCGCCCGTGTGCACCCCGCCCCTCCCCCGACGCAATTGGGATACAATGACATGCATCAACCAAATCAGCGAGCCTGACCACCCGATCCCGTTAGTCGCTATCTTGGGAAGCTACTTGAACGGACATTAAAAGGTTTCAAAGTAAAATCTCTGCGACCAACGTTGCTTAACTTGATTTGTGGTTTGTGTGCTGTACCCGGATTTAGTTAAGTATATTGGAAACTCTTTCAGGCGCCTTCTACACAATAAAGACACCCCAAGGACTGAGGATCATAGCACTGAACACAAACCTGTACTACACCTCGGACAAACTGACCACTGATCTGACCGACCCTGCTGGTCAGTTCGCCTGGCTGGAGAAGGTTCTCAAGAAGGCCAAGGGTGATGGAGAGAAGGTGAAACATCTTGCTAAGGTCAAAATAGTACACCCTCGTTAATCCAGAGTTAATGCAGGATATATTCGTATAGTCAAAGGCTGTTTGTTATCTTGTGACTTTCATTCAGCTATTTCATTAAATGACAAAAGACAAATTATTCCATACGGTGTTATTACACACGACATTGCCAGTTCGAGATGTACAAAGTGAGTGAGTGAGTGAGTGAATGAGTTGGGTTTAACACCGCTGGTAACAGTATTCCAGTTATATCACGGCGTGTCAGCTTAATGTGGGAGGAAAGCCCGAAGTGATGCAGGTCTCAGACGTTTACCCTTCGGTGAAACCTACGAGCACGGGTATGGTGCTGACAAACCTAGAAACATAATCGGGGCGAACCGGGATTTGAACCCACAATCATAGGTTTCTGGCGTGGCCAAGGGGCGAAACTCTGCACAGCGAATCACGGCTCCTTTGACGACTGTGCCACCCGTGCCCCAGGATTTACAACGAATGTGTGTGGTATCGAATAGTTTTTAATTTTAAAACGACAAGCTGTCCTGACTTGTATTGGCAAGAGTGTTTCTGTTGCTATTTATGTTTTTCTATGAATGAGAAATCTGTGAAACGTTCCAATTGTCATTTGATTCATATTATATAAATTACTTGTCCGATAAATTCATTTGATCACAGCACTGACAATAAATCTTCACAGCACGGGTGACCTAGTCGTCTATGGCGCCACAATTCGCTGTGCAGAGTTGTGTCCCTTAGGCATGCCAGAATCCTATTATCGTGGGTTCAAAATCCCATACTCTCCCTTATTGCGTTTCTAGATTTAAATTTGTCAGCAGCACCATACCTGTTTTATTGAAATGGTAATGTAAACACCCAACACATGCACTCACTCACTCACTCACTCACTCACTCATCAATTGTAGGTGTTGATATCCGCTCACATTCCTCCCGGCGTTCACGTTCCTGGGAATGTTCAATGGCTGGCGAAGAATTTCAACACCCGTTTCATCGACCTACTACGACAATATACCGACATCATCGCAGCCATGTACTTCGGCCACGACCACGCTGACGGATTCAAGTTATTACATAAGAATGGGAGTAAGTCGCGCTTTTAAATAATTTACATATTATTAAATATCCTTTTGACCCATGAAGATCCGGGGTGAAATAGGTCTTCAGCAACCCATGCTTGCCGTAAAAGGCGACTAACGGGATCGGGTGGTCAGGCTCGCTGACTAGGTTGATGCATGTCATCGTATCCCCATTGCGTGGATCGATGCTCATGATGTCAATCACTGGATTGTCTGATCCAGACTCGATTATATTTTACAGACTGCCGTCATATAGCTGGAATATTGCTAAGTGAGACGTTAAACAACAAACAAACAAAACATATCCATTTCCGCGAAAATCACTTTTCGCATCCTGATACTATAGTCTATAGCATATCAAAGTGCAAGTTTTAAAGGAGAAAATGCACCATTGGCATTCGTTGTTGTTCCCAGCCGTGCAAGGTACATGTATATTTAAGGTAAAGCACCACTTTTCGTCCTGTGTATTGCTGTAAATTCAATTAACAACAAGAAAGATAGCTCAACATTTACTGCATAGTTTCCCGACATGGGTACAATGTGTGAAGCCCATTTCTGGTGTCCCCCGCCGTGATATTGCTGGAATATTGCTAAAAGCGGCGTAAAACCATACTCACTCACTAACTGCATAATAGTTGAACTTTACTGTATATATGGAGATCTTAACCATGAGACTCTCGGTCCCGTTATATAACGGTCAATGCTCTTGCTGGATGTCCTGAAAAATATTATGGGTAAAAAAAGGCTCCTCCATCCAGGGAAAAATTGTGGCCTTGAATCAGTGACTGAAAAAAAGTTCTGCTTCTAACAAAATCTAAATAGCTGATATATAGTTGGTTTTAATGTCACGTTGTGATTTGTGTATTTTAATTGATCGCAGGGACTCCGGGTGTTCCGATGTTCATGGCCCCGTCGATCACCCCCTGGCGTTACAAGATCCCGGGGAAATCCGGCGATTCCCACAATCCCGCCATCAGACTCGTGAAGTACAACAGGGACAGTGGCATGCCGCTTGACATCCACCAGTATTACATGGACTTGACTGAGAGCAACAAGAACAACGCCTCAAACTGGACAATAGCCTATAAAACTAGTGAGGCGTTTGGACTGTCCGATCTCTCGGCAGACTCCCTTAATGGCGTTATAAAGAAGATGGAAACGGACAAGTCCTTGCTTGATAAGTACATCATGTACAACACTGTCCTCGCTAACGGGGAAACAACAGTCAATGGATGTAACCAGAAATGTCGAGCAATATTCTTGTGTGGCTTCACCCACATGGAGAAGCCATCATTCGATTCTTGTGTTGATTCTCGGGTCGGTGCTGCAGCAGAGATATGTTCTTCTCCCATCGCTTTTATCGCTTTGGCTCTACTTTACCTACTGATGTAAGACACTTGATTATTCCCCGAAAAACCGGAATTCGACATGGCCACCTTTCACGAACGACAGCCCAGAATTGTCTGGAGACATGGCACACTTTGAACATGCCACTCGAACCAGAATATGTTAGAATACGACCCAGGTATTGTCGTTGAAATGAACATTGTCAATAATTCATGTCAGCTACGCAGATAGGTCTCAGCTAAACGGGATCGACGACCCCTGACGATCTGGGGTAGAATAGGTCTTCAGAAACTCATGTTTGTCGTAGAAGGTGACTGAAGACACTGAAGAGTATGTGACTATAAATCTTAACTCACTCAATCACTGAAGAGTAACAGAAAGTGTTTTATATCGATGTGCATCGTTACTTTAGCAATATAGTAAAATAATAAGTTGTTCCACCATGCCTCCGATATTTTGAACAGTATCGAATTTATATGTGAGTCCTGAGTACTGTAAACTACGGTTATAACGAACTCAAAGGAACCACCCATTTTAGTTCGTAATAACCGTAGTTCGTTATAAGCATATATACAGCATATATGCAACACATGGCCGGGGCTAACAAGTAAGTTCGTTATATCGGTCAGTTCGTTATACGCGTGTTCGTTATAACCGTAGTTTACTGTAGTCACATGTAATCGTTCTCATTGCCTGTTTATGTTTTTCTTTGCGTAATCTGTTTATATTTACACCTGTCCAATGTATTGTGTTTTGTGAAACCAATGAGGCATTTATTTAAAAAATCTCATTAACATACTGTTTCACGCATTCCCTAACTTGCATGTGATCATGTGCTGCGCCAATGTGTTTCACGTCGCTTAAATTAACAACATCAATGTATGTCAAAGTTACAACAAGTGAGACCTCATGTGTATTCGTCATATCCGTACAAGGTAACACAAACCCAAGAAACTTTGACCTTGATTTCAATTGACAGTGACCCGGGTAAGATTTGTTTGTTTGTTTGCTTGTTTCTTCCAGCTCTATGCCGGCGGTCTGAAATCATGTAAATAATCGAGTCTGGACCAGACAATCCAGTGATTGTCATCATGAGCCAAGATCCACGCAATTGGGATACGATGACATGCATCAACTGGGTCAGCAATCGAGCCTGACCACCCGATCCCGTTAGTCGCCGCTTACGACAAGCATAGTCGCCATTTACGTCAAGCGTGGGTTGCTGAAAAACTATTGTAGCCCGGAAATATATATATACACTGTATATACATATGGACAAACTCGATTATTGACAGTCCGCCGTCATATACCTGGCATATTGCTGAGCGCGGCATAAAGACAAAAATAATGCACTTGAAAACAGGCGACCTCTTACGCAACCATTAGAGTGTTTTTTACTTGATAGAAGCGTTCTAATTGCCTGTCTGTGTTGTAAAAGCTCCCGGCCTATTGTAGATATCATTAAATGTTCATACCACCGGAGTTCCATTACTGAAATACGTTATGACATAAAGGGATATATTTTTGACAAGCATATTTGATATTTTGTCACATACCGTAGATTTCCCCTATTTCGTGGATATAACTTAATAAACATATTTGTCCTTGAGAAGGAAAACGTCTTGTACATGTTTTGTGAATTCTGCAACCGACTTCATGACCTCTGTGGTACACGATACATGGAAAGGAAGACTCGCGGTTCCACAGTTAGCCCAGGACCTGGGTTCGATTCCCAAATTGGTGCAATTTATTATGCCCGTGCACGTTCTCCCGGTTGTAGTTCTACTTTGGGGGGTGCTGTATCTTTATTCATGTTGTTTAGTCCTGTTTTATAGGGGGCGTCATTGAGAGTGCTTCCGATGCAGAATTAGACATAATATTGTTGGTGGTGGTTTGTTGTTTAACGCCGCAGTCAGCAATTTTCCAGCTATATGACGGCGGATTGTAAATAATCGAGCCTGGACCAGATAATCCAGTGATTGATATCATGAGCATCGATCCACGCAAGTCAGCGAACCTGACCACCCGATCCCGTTAGTCGCCTCTTACGACAAGCATAGTCGCCTTTTACGGCAAGCATTGGTTGCTGAAGACCTATTCTACCACGGATCTTCACGGGTTTTGACATAATAAAGACTGTTCTAACACCATTCTAAGCATTGCATCTGTCAATATCTGTGCAGCATAAATATTTCATTCCATAATATGCAATTACACACTAAGGGTGTGTAGGTAATACGATCCACTGAACCTCGCTCACGACTCAGCGGGCAAAATTCAATGCGGATCAATCCTTAATTTTGAAAGAGAGACAGTGCGCTTATGAAGTTGCGAGTCGTTTTGGCTGCCATTGTCAATCATATACATATATGTGTCTGTGACAAGTCATAATTATAATGGTTTATTATTTAATCAGATAGTATATAAATGTATTGCTACATATAAAAATATTATTCAGCATTACACACAGACGATGTAATTGATATTTTACATATTGTATATACGTGTAGATCTAAGTCAGAGCATTTACACAACAATAATTAGAAGCATGGTCTAAACCAAAGACCATAAAAAGATTTTATGGTCTCTGTTGGAACTAAATGGTCTCCTCGTGAACATATGTCCAATACAATCTTGGTTACTATCACACGAAGATGAGATCTAGAATTAAGATCATCCGTTTCACAAAAAATATTTGGTCTGTCACGCTAAGAAGGTAACATTAGAAGTTATACCTTCGTTTTCCGTGGATAGCATTTCCCGCGAGCAGAGTGTTCTTTGCACACGGCACGCGGCCTACTTTCCCGTGACGAGCAGACGACAAGCTGAAGACACAACACAATTGTGTGAACAGCCGACGCAGGGTAACATGTTGTGCGTGACCTGGAAACACGTGTTTACTGTAATTCTGCTTTATTCGACATGTGCATCTGGACAGGAAGGTGAGATTCAAATATGTCGTAAGAAGAGAATATATTATGTTATCACTCGTTAACCGTGTCTGAAAACCTCATTATTCAACTTCGAAAAAGTTGCTCCTGTGCTGGTCGTAAGAGGCGACTACAAGAAACTGGATCCGATGGTTAGGATTAATAGCGTGTCATCTTGTCCCGACGGAGTGAATCGTTCCTCTTAATTTTGGTCTGTACCAGGCACGATGGGGCGGCCGGGTAGCCTAGTGGTTAAAGCGTTCGCTCGTCACGCCGATGACCCGGGTTGGATTCCCGACATGGGTACAATGTGTGAAGCCCATTTCTGGTGTCCCCCGCCGTGATATTACTGGAATATTGCTAAAAGCGGCGTAAAACCATACTCATTCACTCCAGGCACGATAATATAAAGGCATTCGTCATCAAGCTGAACTGTTGCGGAGTACAAAAAACAAATACAATCGAAAAAAGATGTTTACACAAAATCATTTCATTGTGTTGAATTTTCAAAAATGTACGTGAAAATACTAATGGATAGTATAAGTCCTTTTATAATAAATGCATTGTTTACCAATCGTCTTTTAGTGGTGGGGACATTAATGGCCGCTTATGTTGTTACGAAATCGTATCTACATGCACATGGTGTATCGGTCGTGAAACCTGAATACGAAGTTAGTCCCTTTACGCTGATCTACATTGTCTTAACTCGCCATGTTTGTGTAAATACTTTGGGAGGGTGTACATGATAAGTCACTACCGTCATTTAACACTCCTAGTCTCGAAATTCACCCGTATATATTGTCACCGGGTCATAAAACTACTCTTGCCACGTTTGGAACGTAACCGCTCCGCTCCCCTGCAGTAAGTCGTCACGTCAAGCGGTCGTTGTTGTAAAGTGACATCTCATTCTCTGTTACGAAGGTGTACCTGTCAACAACAGAAAATGTTTTCACTGTAATGACAGCGTAGAAGACGAGGTCCATGTTTTGTTTCACTGCGTATTATATGATGATATCAGGGCAACTCTTTTTAATGAATGTATTGCTAAATCTTTTAGATATACCTGATATCGACAAACTTTGTTTAATTTTCAGTGACTCCAGTGTGTGTTTTATACTTGCCAAAGTCTGCTTTTTAATTATTAATCGTAGAAAACATCTTTTATACGGATAACTTTTTACTATATCATCTTTATATCATTAATGTATAAATTCTGTGACAATTCGTCTCTCATAATTCTATTGAATGGTTCTGTACATTTTATCTATGTCAAGTTGTACAAAGCTGTTTTATGTATGTACAGGAGTGAGACGTTAAGAAACTATTGTCTGTCTGTCTGTCTGTTACAGAATTAGAGACCTGAATATTTCATCCTCTCGTGATTTAATGGCTCACTCTTACCATGTATTGACTTGGTCTATGTTATCTCATATATACTAGAATAAACATAACATTCATATTTTTAGACAGCAGGATTAGAGCTTTCAAATGGTGTATGAAATGTAGTTGCAACGATGGTTTTCAAGCTGATAACTTCCTGATAAATGTAGGCTTCGTCTATCACCATTTAGTCTCTAGGAACTCGGTGTGACAGCAGAAAAAGATTCTGGTGGACTGGTTTTGTAATTAATATTGCAAGCGTATGCCGCCCTGCTTCAGCTTAAGTTTTCTGGCCTACATTTTTTTCCACTGGGACAACAGTTGTTTTTTTAATTAAGGCCCTTGAGTTTACTCTGCTGAGTTTAAGACACTGGTCGTGCCGTTGGATAGCTTATGTTCAGCGGGTTATTTTGATACCACCATCTTCCTTATGGGTATAGTATTTTGTATGCTAGTCGTGTTTTTCCATGTTAAGAAACACACTTTGGCCAACCCCCTGGACTAGTGTATTCCCTGGCTGGCCAGGAGATATTGTCTCCTCCGACGTCCGCGCAAGATGGTTGGTTTGGTTTATTTGTTGTTTAATGCCGCACTCAGCAATATTCCAGCTATATGACGGCGGTCTGTAAACAATCGAGTCTGGACCAGACAATCCAGTGATTGACATCATGAGCATCCATCCACGCAATTAAGATCGATGACATGCATTAACCAAGTCAGCGAGCCTGACCACCCGATCCCGTTGGTCGCCTCTTACGGCAAGCATGGGTTGCTGAAGACCTATTCTACCCCGGATCGCCACGGGTCCCGCGCAAGTAATAAACATTTGTCAAGATATTGTGTCTTTACTCCCAGGCCTTGTTACATAGATGGCTTAGAGGTCGATTTGTTCCTGGGTGGTCACTCGAAACTCAGGATTCGTTTGTAAGTGATTACGGGCACTTTTGATCTACTACTCAATTACTCTGGTTGTATTGGGCTAAAGTTATCTTACTGTCCAAGAGACTTATTTTAAGGATAGGCCCTCTGTGTTTTCTTCACTCATTATAGTGTTGAATTGATTAACTGGTGTTAACTGGTCTGTCTATGTATCTTGTCAATATCTTGTCAAAGTGTTTTAGCTACTGTCAATTTATTACTGTAATACAGTTGCTTAGCTAAACTGCGGGAATAATCAGCGATCATTGTCAATATAGATAGGGTTTATTTTGTCATCTATTGATACAATTAACTAGCTGCTAGTAATAATCCCTTGAACCTATTACCACGTTTTTATTATTTCTTTATTCTTGTTTAATGACACCTCTGATCACTGGAGCACAGCTCGGTGACAGGACCAACACCAGTATATATTATAATTATTAATAACAATCGTCCCACTCGTCTGAGACACGTACCATAGAAATCTATGAAGGCGGATTCCAGTACCGTTTCGCCCTGATTATGTTTCTGAATTTGTCAGCACAAGACCCGTCCTCATGGGTTTCACCAAAGTTAATAATGCATCACTTTGGGCATTCCTCCCGCAAGAAACTGACACGCCGTGATATACATGAAACACTGTACAAAGCGGTGTAAACCTTCACTCACTCCCTTATACATAGGAGAGCGGTTATTTATGTAAAATGTGTCCAAAAGATTACCCCTGGCTCGTGTTGACGCTTTTAGGCGCGTATTTTTGCTTTGACCTTATTCTGCTACTGTTTCCAGAAACCTGAGTGGATTTGAGAAAGACAGACAGACAATTGTTTATTAACGTCTCACTTCTGTACAACATACTACATATATATATATACATAGAACAAAGATAAAAGTACAGAACCACTCAATATGAGTTATGAGAGACGAGGTCACATAAAAATAAATACAAGTAGAATATATAAGTGGTAAAATATATCACGAAGGTAAATCTAAGCATTATATAAAATATTCTTGCGTTTCTCAAGTAAAAGTTTGCAGGTTTTGGCCGTTAGAAACACCAAATCATCATTGGACATAATAAAAAGGAAAACGTATCAACATCAGATAGAGCTTGAAAAGTATCACAGAGATTCGCACATGTAGTTAAAAGGCTATCAGTAATGTTTTTTATATAAAGGACAATGAAATAAAACATAGCTTTCATCCTCCACGCATTCATGACAGTTAAAACACATCCGTTCATTCAATGGTATATTATTGTAGCGACCTGTCTCAACATGGAGTGGCGGTCGGGTAGCCTAGTGGTTAAAGCGTTTGCTCGTCACGCCAAACACCCGTGTTCGATTCCCGACATGGGTACAATGTGTGAAGCCCATTTCTGGTGTCCCCCGCCGTGATATTGCTGGAATAATGCTAAAAGCGGCGTAAAACAATACTCACTCACTCAACATGGAGCGGGGCAACACCACAGCGGAATAGAGCTAGAGGCATTTATCACAAAAGACTGTGGGAGTTGCGCAAGTTATTGCACCATTAAGAATCCTGCAGCTATCATCTTCAAATAAGAATTCTCTGAAATGAAAATAGTACTTAGGTAAATAGGTTTTTCTCCTAAATCTCCTTGACTCTGTTTTAGATCTTTGAAATCGGTCGCATCGTTTGATACAAATGTCAACACGTTTGAGATTTAGAAAGACGCAGTACTACGAGCTACTGGTACACATTATCATCTGATCGTCACTTCACACTGAATTAGTGAGTTGATTTAAGTCACATCAGCAACACTTCAAGACAGAATGTAGTGATTGTGTTCTGGCCTAACACCGACAATGCAACGGTTGATTGTGTGGAACCTTATTGCTGCTGTATATTAAAAACTCTAACGCCGTTTTTCACCTTCATGAATACTAGCCCCGCTTCTATCCACTCCAAGCATGCGTACGTGACTATTAAAACACTTCCACTATTGCTAATAGCAACGGCATACACTTTCAAATGATGGACATGTTTGAAGTTTATCCCATTTTCCTCAAGAAGAAAACAGTGTAAAACTGGCCAGGATTACATTTCTAGCGGACACTGGATATGTTGTGTAAACACACCCCAAGTCTCCAAACAGAGATAACTGGGCTTCCAAGCCTTATTACGCCTGTGCTCTAAAGTTTACCTCACTGACCTTTGACTATTTAATACAAAATGGTCATAGACTTTTTGCAGAATCATGTAACCCTAAAATTGGTGGACTTTTGCTTTGATTAATATTTAATACACCGTTGTTTGCTATAATCTGTTGTGGGGCCACGGGTCCTCGTCTGAGGCGCCGCGATTCGCTGTGCAGAGTTGAGAAACGCCAGAAACATGTGATTGTGGGTTCGAATCCCGGTTCGCCCCGATTATTTTTCTAGGTTTGTCAGCACCACACCCGTGCTCGTGGGTAAACGTTTGGGACCTGCATCACTTCAGGCTTTCTCACATTAAGCTGACACGCCGAGATATAACTGGAATACTGTTAAAAGCGGCGTTAAACCCAACTAACTCACTCACTCACTCTTATCTGTTGTGTTGGCCGAGGTATAGAGTGACCTTCATATTTATGTATATCACAATTTATTTTATCATTTTGAACAATATTTAGCTTTTGTTTTTTAATCCAGGTTGACAGGCACAACGTGACGCGATACCTGATCCATATTTTGCCGTGATATAGCTGAAACAACTGTACTGTTCAAAACGGCGTTAAACAAAACTCACTCACTCATTCAGATCCAGGAAAATGGAAATTGACTCTCTGGAGGATACAGTCACTGTTATTTGAGTTTAGTTTAAGTATAATTCCGACCCCGAATCTCCATGAATACATGACGCAAGTGCATTATCACAATGTGTCACCGTACAGAAGATGACGTATTTAATACCTTGTATCAGCTCTCAACACGTCAAATTTTTAATACGCATAATTTGAATTATTATTTCGATGAAACATGTTTTATAGGGAAGAAGTAGGGAACATATTTTATTTAAGTATTACATGTTAATTGCACATAATACAAAGTACAGTTTTAAAAATCATCCGTCCATTGGGAATACGAGACACCAGATACTTTAAAACGGTAAATGAAATACATTATCCGATTATACTAGGATTATAGTATAGGCATTCATAAATACAAATATTGACTCGCTGACATAAGTCGTACATAAATACCAGGCGACTTTGCTTGTCGTAAGAAGCGATTAACGGGATCGGGTGGTAAGGCTCGCTGACTTGGTTGATGCATGTCATCTTTTAACAATTGCGTAGATCGATGTTCATGATATGTATCACTGGATTGTTTGGTCCAGACTCGATTATTTACAAACTGTCGTCGTATAGCTGGAATATTGCTTAATGTGGTGTTAAACAACAAACAAACAAACAAACAACATATATACCAATGCTATCACTGAAATACATGCGCTGGGGTGTAACCAGGACATGTCAAGGGCTTACATAGAGTCTCACCCTATGTTTCTCCTCGCCGATCACGCTGTCACATCTGATTTGGGTCAAGATGAAACGTTACGGTTTTGCCGTTATGTTCAGGCTTGTTAAAATAAATGTATTGTTTCTCACGACCTGCCGCTCCTAAACTTTCCCCGCCCCTCATGTTTGTTCCATGTTTTAAGCACTCTTATGAAACGACTTTGTCAGATCCAACTTCATTTTGAACCAAAATTCTACGTTTTGGGAACCTTGGCCTCGCGTATGTCTCTTTATACTTCGAAGCTTTTGCCTTCCAAAAGAAATAAAATATAAAAATATTTTCTCCCTTACTACCCAGTCAGTTCTGAAAAAGGTCATGAGAAAGAAGAAGAATTATTTTAAGTTAACCTGTACTTGGCCCTACTATGACGGTCGCGATCGTGGAAGTAGCCTCGCTGCTTATTTCTGTTCACCGACCTTGCTAACTAATATTATTCAGATCACGCTTTACGGATAAGTTTATCCATATTAGAAAGTCGTGTAAATATGCGTCATGAGGAGCCGTTGTAAGGCCAAGTGTTGGAAGGTCTTGCGAGTGAACCACGACCGAAATACTTACACTTAATCGGACGCGTGGTCGTGAGCCGGAGCCACTTCAGTATGTTGGCATGTAGGGTTTGCCATGTTTTGGCTGTAATATTATGGGTCAGGTTAATAGAGCACTAAGATATATTTAAGTGTAAACTGTTATGAATTGTCATTGGGATTTGGACAATAGCAAGTGGAATTTAGTCCAGGATGGTTACTTCAGTGCTAAACACCTCACACCTCACCCAACCCCGTCTTATAGGTATATCAGTTGGGTAATATGTCTTACAATGTAGAGCATTTGATTTACATGTCGTTCTGACGTGTTTAAAATATTAAATACTGCGTAAACCGTCACTCCACACCCATAAAGTAAAACTACAAACTCTACACCATATAGCCACGTCAATGAGGAATGCCCAGCCCTATACTATATGCCGCCGTTCAGATAATCACATTCTGATTTGTTTGTTTGTCTGTTGTTTATACGCCGCACTCAGCAATATTCCAGCTATTTGACGGCGGTCTGTAAATAATCGAGTCTTTACCAGACAATCCAGTGATTGATACCATGAGCATCGGTCCTCGCAATTGGAACCGATGACATGCATCAACCAAGTCAGCGAGCCTGATCCCGTTAGTCGCCTCTTACGACAAGCATGGGTTGCTGAAGACCTATTGTACCCCGGAATCTTCACGGGTCAATCACATTCTGAATGTAGAGCCGTAAAGACCAGGGTTAGAATGGGTCTTCAGCAACCCATGCTTGTCACAAGAGGAGACTATGCTTGTCGTAAGAGGAGACTAACGGGATCTGGTGGTCAGACTCGCTGACTTGGTTGATACATGTCATCGTATCCTAAACGCGTGGTGTGAAGCCCTTTTCTGGTGTCCCCCGCCGTGATATTGCTGGAATATTGCTAAAAGCGGCGTAAAACCAAACTCACGCACTCACTAAATGCGTGGATCGATGTTCATGATATCAATCACTGGATTATCTTGTCCAGATTCCATTATTTACAGACTGTCGTTATATATCATTCTATCTCAGAATCTAAAAGAATAATTCAATGAAAAGTCCAATATTTATATCACCTGTTTCAATGCAGTGATATATGTATGTTATTAAAAGTTGAAGTGTGTTAATCATGATCCCAGAAAGAAGTGAGCAACTGTCACGCGTTATTCACTCAGGTACACGGGCCTTATTGTACGATATTGCAAAGCACACATGCCATGGTTGATTTCGACATCCTTTGGTCCAATGAAATAACACGCGTCACAAGAGACGAGTAGGTCGATTTGATATTCAATGCGTAGTCATCTGTACAAATATCTTACAACCCGACTATTTCATTGTCTATCCTTGCGCTGCGTTCAGCGTTTCTTACGAGTTAAGGTCTCAAGATAGCATGGATAACGTTTTCACATCGGGCGTCATTAGTATTGAACAATTGAATGTCGTTTAACGTTACACTAACAGCCACGCATTATAAGCATCCAAATCTCATTTAAGCTTAGGACCCATTCTAATCAGACAGGGTCAGTCACTAAACCACGAATATAACTGACAAAACAGTAAATGTTGCAAACACGACCTTTAAGTGTCTATGTTGGAGTCATAAAAATATGTTTACAGAGACATTTGAATACACGCGCCTTGCAAATTTATCGTGTTTGAAATCATCGATGACAAGCTCTTGAAATTACCCTCTCCAGGATGGATATATTTGAGAGGTGGATAATTTATTATGTTTTATTACATATTGTCAAAACAATAACCTTGCAGCTGTTATACGGTGTGGGAAAGGTTGGCAAAGTTTCAAAAGTGTCCATAGTTCGATATTGTATGTAGGTGTTCAGAAGATATATACAGCACATTAGGGGGCGCGATTCGCTGTGCAGAGTTGCGTCCCTTTGGCACGCCAGAAACCTATGATTGTGGGTTCGAATCCCGGTTCGCCCCGATTATGCTTCTGGGTTTGTCAGCACCATACCCGTGCTCGTGGGTTTCACCGAAGTGGTAAACGTCTGAGACCTGCATCACTTCGGGCTTTCCTCCCACATTTAGCTGACACGCCGTGATATAACTGGAATAATGTTAAAAGCGGCATTAAACCCAACTCACTCACTCACGATACAGTACATAAAAGTAGATACCCGAAAAGTTACAGAGTGTACTTTTAAAGTGATATATGCATTACATACATCATGTACATACAAATATATATACAGAACTGTTTCAATGTCAAGAGCCGATTTTTGGTATTACAGCTCTATTGATTCAAAAAAAACAAAATATAATTACCATAATGATGGTATCATGGTTACTTGTTTGTTTGATGTTAAACTCCACACTGAGAAGTTATATTCCATGAGGGTTTTTATTAATCGAGCCTGAGTCAGACAATCTAGTGATTGATATCAGGAGCAACGATCCATGTCGTTAGGGTACGATGTCACATCATCCACCAGCTCACCGTAGCTGATCATCATTTAGCTTTGGTAGCTTGAGCATCATGAACGCTGCTGCATGTACGTGTATCGTATACTCACAAGGTATACTGTGTTACAAATATTGCCTATGAACTCACCGTTACTTTGATGTCTAAATTTCAGCAATATTCGAGGTATATGACGGCGGTCTGTAAATAGTCGAGTTTGCCATACAGGTCCAGTGATTGATGTCATGAGCATCGATCTAGGCAATTTGGATACGATGACATGCATCAACCACGTCAGCGATCCTGACCACCCGATCCCGTTAGTCGCCTCTTACTGCAAGCATGGGTTGCTGAAGACCTATTCTCTTTCCGGATCTTCACGGGTCTATAAGCTCATTAAGAATTGACGATGCATTATATGTACTTGTAGAGAAGTAAACGTCACTACTGATACATGCAGTTATTTAAAATCAACTTTTCTTTCTCAAAGGTTACTTCTGGCACATCACGGACCACCATTACGACACAACCTACTGGTCTGAAATGCGGTCCTGTAATGACGAAGTTCCTGTGCGGGGCATCTATGGCGACTACTGGTGTGACTCCCCCTGGCGGCTCGTCAACGACAGCATCAACGCCATGGCAAACATCAACCGAAACGTTGACTTCATCTTGTGGACTGGGTAAACAGTTTGCCGTTCTATAAGTACATGGATGTCACGGTGTGCATGCGAAATGTAGAACGCTTAAAACGTCTCAGGTCAGAGATGTTACCACTTTTGTGGATTCAATAAGGACAGACCAAGGGTCATAATCGAAACGAATGTGGGATTCTAACTTGAACTTGCGACAACGTACGATAATGCACAGATTTGAGACTCAGCATCAAAGTGAATATGAGGCAATGGCCACTGGGCCACCAGCAACCACTGTAAACCCATTTCAAACAAGGAAACACGATTGATATGAGAACATCTTAGATAAGGGAAAAGCAAGTTGCGGCATATTAGACTAACAGGCCATCCATGCCAACTTTCATAATATAAATACGAGCGGACATTTCATCTGTATATTTTTGAGAACCTTCGACCAACATGACCCTCGATTATCCAGTGCATTGTACAGTAAAGCACGGTTATAACGAACACGCTTATAACGAACTGACGGATATAACGAACTTACTTTTTGGTCCCGACTATTTGCTGTAGTTATGCTGTATATATGCTTATAACGAACTACGGTTATAACGACCTAAAATTAGTAGTCCCTTTGAGTTCGTTATAACCGTACTTTACTGTATCTGGATAAATATCGTGAACCTACATGTATGCGTGACCATATATTCGTTTCGGATGTAACGGCACCCCCTCTTTTGCTCACTCATAAAAGTATTTTAGTGTCGAAGCTATAGTATCGAATGAGTGTCAAAAGGCTGAAGCATTCCGTCCCTTTGAAATCACTACGTCTTGTCCTGAGACCAATACATTTCAATATAAATGACCGTCCTAAGGTACCACCGGATCATGTTCCTTGACCTGAAGACAACGTCAAACATATGACACATTTTGCACGTTCAAAAGAATTTATTTGATAAATGTGTTATGACGTACATACACCATCTACCTGTATTTCCGGTGTGTGTTATTTGACAAATGTGTTATGACGTACATACACCGTCTACCTGTATTTCCACTGAGGGTTATTTGATAAATGTATGATGACGTACATACACCATCTACCTGTATTTCCACTGTGGGTTATTTGACAAATGTGTTATGACGTACATACACCGTTTACCTGTATTTCCACTGAGGGTTATTTGATAAATGTATGATGACGTACATACACCATCTACCTGTATTTCCACTGAGAGTTATTTGATAAATTTGTTATGACGTACATACACCATCTACCTGTATTTCCACTGTGTGTTACAGCGACAACGTGGCCCACATCGCGGATCAATACACCAATGAGACGTACGTCGTGCATATCCTCAGAAGTATCACTGACGCCCTGAAGGCGGCGTTCCCGGGGGTCAAGGTGTACGCCACAATGGGGAACCACGACTGGTACCCCTCCGACCAATTCCCCGTCGACTCGCACTCCCTGTACAACGCCACTGCCGACCTCTGGAAAGACTGGATTGGTGATACAAATCAAGTTGAAAATTTTCGTAAAGGTAGTGATCAAATGTTGCAGTTTTCACATCTTGAGTCTGTGTGATATGGTGCAGTTATGTTTTTTTCCCATGGCATTTAGGGGTGGGTTGTTGTTAGGCGTTGTTGTCTTATTACATTTCTCACTGAACAGGTGACACGTGTATGCATCTGTGATGAGTTGTGTCCCTTAGCCGTGCCCGGATCAGCTAACCATGGATTCGTCCTGATTATGTCCCTTGGTTTGTCATCATCATAGCCGAACCTTGCTCTACAATGTCTAAAATTTTGGCGTTCACGTGAAAATGACACGCCATGTTATAAATGGTGTACTTTTCTATGGGCGTTAAAACCAATTCACTTAATCACCCAACAGTACTAGTATAGTACAGAATTCATATTTTTCCGAATAATTCATCTCATGTCAGGCGCCTACTACACAGTGAAGACAACCCAAGGACTGAGGATCATAGGACTGAACACAAACCTGTACTACACCTCGGACAAACTGACCACTGATATGACCGACCCTGCTGGTCAGTTCGCCTGGCTTGAGGAGGTTCTCAAGAACGCCAAGACAGCTGGAGAGAAGGTAGTTACACACCAAACCTGTATTAACCAAATTGGTTTCAATGTTAAAATAAACGCCTTTTCCTGAAAACAATCACGGACTATATTATATGTATATGCTCCTAAAATATTAATGTTTCGATTTTATGGAAACACAATGTACCAATACCGTGATGATCCTCTGCCGTGATCCATCATGCAAGAGGAGACACGGGTGGCCCAGTCGTCTAAGGCGCCGCGATTCGCTGTGCAGAGTTGCGTCCCTTGGGCACGCCAGAACCCTATGATTGTGGGTTCGAATCCCGGTTCGCCCCAATTATGTTTCTTGGTTTGTCAGCACCATACCCGTGCTCGTGGGTTTCACCGAAGTGGTAACTAACAATTGTTTGGTGGTGCCAACATTTTGATATTTTCGATTTTGTGGTCTGTATATATGGGAAAACACTCTTTCCTTTAGGTGTTGATGACCGCCCACGTCCCTCCCGGCTTCCACGTTCCTGGGAAGGTCCAGTGGTTTTACAATCATTACAACACACGCTTCCTCGATATCAGCCGTACATTCTCCGACATCATCGTGGGCATGTTCTTCGGTCACGACCACGCCGACGGATTCAAACTCTTGCAAAGACATGGTGGTGGGTATAACCTGCGCACGCCGACTTCAGTAGTTATCAACTACTATTTTCCTGTTGAATATGCTTCCATTATTATATCTAACTTAATCTTCATTTTCATATAATTACTAAATTATTCAATCTAATTTATGTCATCAAGACCGCAATGTTTCCTTTTTGATGTCATACTGATTTCAGCCACATATTTATAGATTTCTGTGCTCAAATGGAATGGAAACATTTTATTATGAAATTCGTGAAACGTGTATGCCATGGATACAGCCAACTAAATACAAAGAGATGCTATGACCGGAATGCATCATAACCAGAGATACAGAATAAGCAGGTCCCATGTACTCAATATACATACCCTCAACAAGCATACATTCTGCGCGTTTGGAGGCATAAACTGTTGAGAAGTGTGTTTTAAGATCTTAATATATTTCAAGGTATACAGATGTTGAGGATAAAAAAATAATTAATCACATCTTCATATTTTCGTAATATCTTCCAATCAACATATATTTACATGATTACATATTTAACTAAAATTTCTGATAATTGTTGGCTCTATTTTGCTCTGATAAATACAATACGAGAGTCATGGGTTCTTGGGAGGTTCTTGTTTGAACTGACAAGTTGGAAGCCCCAGGTGATGATAATGTAATTGCATATTAATACTTCTTTTGGCTGTTAATTGTTTACCACGTTTAGATCACAATTCTAAGCATTGTTTGACATCTACCGTATAAACGTGTTGACATATGAAACAAGAAAAGTGTTTAGGTTTGTATTTACACATCGTTACAGTATACTTGTTGTAAGGGCCCAATTAATGAAGACAATTATGCACGGATGCGTAAATAGATGTCCCACTTTCTAAAACGTGACACTGATCATTTTTTTTACTTATAGTCCTTGGAATATTGCTGACGACGGCGAAAATAGAATGCGTCTTTTAAACTTATCCACACAAATTGATTTAGGCTACAATTCTTCGATGCTTCCCAAGGATTTGTTTCTACTTTTATCCACGAGGGCGAAATTTCATAGATTATAATTCTGAAGCATTTACAAATGTTTCTAACATGAGATTCTAGTACATGTTTGAGATCATCTCAAAATTACTTGGGCGCGTCAGTTCGAAATAAAATATCGACATGCATTTCTTTAATTAAACTGATCTTGACATTAACAATAATTAAAAAGCAGTGTCTAAAAGAGCAATACGACCCTCGATGACGTCACAATTGGATAGCGATTTTTCCTTGTAGCCTTGAAATGGAAAACTATATCCTCCAACGAGACATACATGTATTTATCATTTAACTTAAGCATTTATCCATGACATAAGCTTATGACATAAAAACATGTATGTCATAGCCCAATGACATAAGTATGCAAATTAGATATGCAAATTAGATAACCGGAAGAGCGAGCGGTTTGATTTGAAACTATATATTATAAGTGAAGTTACACCAGAGATATAATCAGATTAGACAGAATCATTGTTGTTACCGTTATTAAAGTTTCAATTATTCTGCAAAAGTCTGTTCAAGTATTTTGTTTAAAATAATCCGAGGAACTCTTTTTCTCAGCGAATTGTTTATTTTGGTTTACATGGCTATGGAAAACATGTATCACTACGCACGATCTATACGTAAGATTTCGACAAGTTGCTGATGTTAATGTTTAATGCAATTATTCCTTAATTTGGAAGCAAAAATGTGAAAATGATAAATAGAATTCATCACTCGTGTTTTTTAATATGGGAAATATCAACCTCGTCCCGTTTATCGGTATTTGCCTCGCCAAAGGCTCGGCAAATACAGATTAACTAAGACTCGGTTGATATTTCCCATATTAAAAAACACTCGTGATGAATCCTCTATGTATACATATCCAACTGATTATATGCAGTATACAAAAGACCCATGTCTCAATGTATGCATGTGCACCATGTACTCACATGTGAAAATATACATAACATGCATATTTCATTTAACCCTTCACGTGTTTAACCACCCACACCTGTACTGCATACATATCGAAAGTGTCTCATGTGGGTATTAAGCCCATGTTTATGCGCCTATGTGAAAAATCATAATTACTTTTGAGTAATACATTGATGATGTGTGGTGAAATGGGGTTTAACGTCGCGTCCAAGATTATTGCACTTCTATGGCGACGTGCATGCGCGTGTATGTGTGGCTGCAAAAAGTGCTTGTACTAGTCCGGACCGATGCCGATTTATAGTGCTAGCCCACTGAGATGCCGCAGTTTAACATGAATACCCCACTCAGACACAGTATACTGACTCCGAGCCGATCAGTCCTTGTTTTAGCCCCTTAATGCCGAGCGTCAGACAGGGTAACAACAAGTACCATCTTTTAACGTCTTTTGGTATGACGCGGCCGCTCTCCGGGCGGACGCTCTACCACTAGACCACGGAGGCGGTCACATTGATGGTGTAAATTTCGTATCCACATTTTTACATTTTTACATGTTTGCATTTTACATTATATTTATCTTCCTGAAAAAAGATCAGCCCCAATGGAGTATTCGAATGTGGTTCATGGTGGACATCAGCAGTTGTTCCAACCTTTAAAGAAGAATGAATACAATATTTCAAAGTTCTTAACACTATTATCCATTGATTAGATAAAGCAGATAGCATAATGTTTCGCTGTAGATGGATTTTTTTTATATATTTCAGGGAGTCCAGGAGTGCCTATTTTCATGGCTCCATCAATCACCCCCTGGCGTTTCAAAATCCCAGACGAATCCGGGGATCCTCACAACCCAGCCATTAGACTTGTCAAGTACAACCAGCAAACCGGAGTCCTACTTGACATCCACCAGTATTACATGAACCTGACGGACAGCAACAGAAACAATGCATCAGACTGGAAAATTGAATACAAAGCCAGCGAGGAGTATGGACAGACTGATCTCTCGGCAGTCTCCGTTGATAATATTATAAAGGCATTCAAGACTGACAAGTCCCTTCTGGATAAGTATATCAGATACAACACCGTCCTTGCTAATGGAGACACTACAGTGAATGCCTGTGACGAGAAGTGTCGAGCTGAATATAACTGTGCTTTCATCAACATGAACGAGATTTCGTTCGACTCTTGCTACACAACACTAGTTGGAGGTTCGGCAAGGCTGTGTTCTTCTTCCTTTCTTATTGTCTTGTTAGCCATCATATATTATGTACTTTTCTAGAGAGAAATGTCTCTTTAAGATCTTTTTTTATTTATTCTTAGGCTCATATCTCTGTAATTCAAGATAAGTGACCAATCATCACCAACCGTGAGATATGGGACCTTATGGATGAAAAATCATATTTTGACTTCTTATTACTTTTTTAGTTACCGTATCTTAGGTCCAAAAAAGTCCCAAAGTTTCAATTCATATTTATTACAGAGATGCATGGTATCAAACATTTGGGCTCATTTTCTGCAAAGTCTTACTTTCCGATTTATAACTGTTTATGTAATGATTGCTGTTTTTAGATATTGTCTGATTACTTGAAAGTCGACATGTACGCTGAAATGTTTTAAAGTAATGTTTTTATTATATTACGAACTAACGAGAGAGAAATCCGATTGTTGTAGTCCGCACACATGGCGATTTTTACGGAAGTAAGTTGACGTCAAACGTCTTTCTCTATGAGTGAGTGAGTGAGTATGGTTTTACGCCGCATTTAGCAATATTCCAGCAATATCACACATTGTACCTATGTCGGGAATCGAACCCGGGTCTTCGGCGTGACGACCGAACGCTTTAACCACTAGGCTACCCGACCGCCCTCTTTCTTTATGACGTCACAGCATAATTGTATCACAGCATCCATAATGTCCATTTTCTCCTGGTTGGTCACATATTTTGTTGAAAGATTGTCAATCAGTATTTTAATCGTCAACCTACTATTTCTTGTGTCACAAGTGCGGTGCAAATAAAACATCATCAGTTTCGTGCTTTGTCCTTGAAGACGCTTCCGTACAATAGCTTGTAACACATTCGGTATAAGTCCGATTATTCATGTTTCAGGCTGATGAACATAATGGACAATTAGGTGAGATGTTATATCTCACCTTTTATTAAACCGTGCAATGGTGACAGAACGTGGTGTGTCCACTGTTGTGTTTGTCCAAACATATATCCATAATAAAATTATTTTTACAACTTTCATTTCTTTTGTTTTCAGTAAACATTAATGAAGCACATGAACTGATATCCACTGATTATTAACTTTCTGTTGAAATACCTCGAAACCAGCAAAACATTTCAAAGTTTATTTCCATTGCTTTGTTGCAACCCATAATGTAGAAACTTCTCTTTATATATGTAAACATGATCAGTTGGTTGGGTATCAACCCTCTTTGTAAACAAATACACTTGAAGTAGCGCTCGCAACCCTTAATGTTAACATTTATTTCTTTACAATAAGGGTGAATGTCGTATATATCAACAGGCAATCATGGGTTGCTGAAGGCCTATTCTAACCCGGATCTTTACGGGTCACTCGGCAATGACATTCCGTGTTATTGGTTGGCTGTTAGCTGAAACTGGAAATGACCATATTTAATTATTGCCGTGTTTCTCTAGTAGGAACGTAATCGTCTTGTGAAGATCCGGAGTAGGATAGGTCCTTAAGCAACACATGCTTGCAGTAAAAAGCGACAATGCTTGTCGTAAGAGGCGACTAACGGGGATCGGGTGGTCAGGCTTGCTGTCTTGGTTAATGCATGTCATCGTATCCAAATTGCATGGATCGCGGCTCATGATATCGATCACTGGATCGTCTGATCCAGACTCGATTATTTGCTGACCACTGACATATAGCTTGAATATTCATGAGTGCGGAGAAAAATAGTAGTGGCTGTGTTCTGACGCGTGGACAAAAAAGAGAGATATTGCTGTATGTGATCCTCAAAGAGAGGAAGAAAAAGAGATAGTGGTGTCAGTGTACCCTCAACACACGCTCCCCACCTCACTCTCCACACCCACACAGTGCAACTCACACTCCCCAAAGCCCGCAACACACACTCCCCAAACCACACAACACAGGCTCCCCACATCCCACATCCCGCAACACACACTCCCAACACCCAACATCCCACACCCCGCAACACACGCTCCCCACACCCCAAGCTCCACACCAATACCACACAGTCCCCGCACCCCTCAACACACACTCCCCACACCCCGCAACACACGCTCCCAACACCCCTCAACACACACTCCCCACCTCACTCTCCAAACCCACACAGTGCAACACACACTCCCCAAAGCCCGCAACACACACTCCCCACCTCACTCTCCACACCCACACAGTGCAACACACACTCCCCAAACCCCTCAGCACACACTCCCCAAACCACACAACACAGGCTCCCCACATCCCACATCCCGCAACACACACTCCCAACACCCAACATCCCACACCCCACACCCCACATCCCGCAACACACGCTCCCCACACCCCAAGCTCCACACCAATACCACACACTCCCCGCACCCCTCAACACACGCTCCCCACACCCCGAACGCACGCTCCCCACACCCCTCAAAACACACTCCCCACCTCACTATCCACACCCACTCAGTGCAACACACATTCCCCAAACCCCGCAACACACACTCCACAAACCCCGCAACACACACTCCACAAACCCCGCAACACACACTCCCCAAACCCCGCAACACACACTCCACAAACCCCGCAACACACGCTCCACAAACCCCGTAACACACGCTCCCCAAACCCCGTAACACACACTCCCCACCTCACACCCCACATCCCGCAACACACACTCCCCAAACCCCGCAACACACACTCCCCAAACCCCGCAACACACGCTCCCCAAACCCCGTAACACACGCTCCCCAAACCCCGTAACACACACTCCCCACCTCACACCCCACATCCCGCAACACACACTCCACAAACCCCGCAACACACACTCCCCACCTCACAACCCACATCCCGCAACACACACTCCACAAACCCCGTAACACACGCTGCCCACCTCACAACCCACATCCCGCAACACACACTCCCCAAACCCCGCAACACACACTCCCCAAACCCCGCAACACACACTCCCCAAACCCCGCAACACACGCTCCCCAAACCCCGTAACACACGCTCCCCAAACCCCGTAACACACGCTGCCCACCTCACAACCCACATCCCGCAACACACACTCCCCAAACCCCGCAACACACACTCCCCAAACCCCGCAACACACACTCCCCAAACCCCGCAACACACGCTCCCCAAACCCCGTAACACACGCTCCCCAAACCCCGTAACACACACTCCCCACCTCACACCCCACATCCCGCAACACACACTCCCCAAACCCCGTAACACACACTCCACAAACCCCGCAACACACGCTCCACAAACCCCGTAACACACGCTGCCCACCTCACAACCCACATCCCGCAACACACACTCCCCAAACCCCGCAACACACACTCCCCAAACCCCGCAACACACACTCCCCAAACCCCGCAACACACGCTCCCCAAACCCCGTAACACACGCTCCCCAAACCCCGTAACACACACTCCCCACCTCACACCCCACATCCCGCAACACACACTCCCCAAACCCCGTAACACACACTCCACAAACCCCGCAACACACGCTCCACAAACCCCGCAACACACGCTCCCCAAACCCCGTAACACACGCTCCCCAAACCCCGTAACACACACTCCCCACCTCACACCCCACATCCCGCAACACACACTCCACAAACCCCGCAACACACGCTCCACAAACCCCGTAACACACGCTGCCCACCGCACAACCCACATCCCGCAACACACACTCCCCAAACCCCGCAACACACACTCCCCAAACCCCGCAACACACACTCCCCAAACCCCGCAACACACGCTCCCCAAACCCCGTAACACACGCTCCCCAAACCCCGTAACACACGCTGCCCACCTCACAACCCACATCCCGCAACACACACTCCCCAAACCCCGCAACACACACTCCCCAAACCCCGCAACACACACTCCCCAAACCCCGCAACACACGCTCCCCAAACCCCGTAACACACGCTCCCCAAACCCCGTAACACACACTCCCCACCTCACACCCCACATCCCGCAACACACACTCCCCAAACCCCGTAACACACACTCCACAAACCCCGCAACACACGCTCCACAAACCCCGTAACACACGCTGCCCACCTCACAACCCACATCCCGCAACACACACTCCCCAAACCCCGCAACACACGCTCCCCAAACCCCGTAACACACGCTCCCCAAACCCCGTAACACACACTCCCCACCTCACACCCCACATCCCGCAACACACACTCCCCAAACCCCGTAACACACACTCCACAAACCCCGCAACACACGCTCCACAAACCCCGTAACACACGCTGCCCACCTCACAACCCACATCCCGCAACACACACTCCCCAAACCCCGCAACACACACTCCCCAAACCCCGCAACACACGCTCCCCAAACCCCGTAACACACGCTCCCCAAACCCCGTACCACACGCTCCCCAAACCCCGTAACACACGCTCCCCAAACCCCGTACCACACGCTCCCCAAACCCCGTAACACACACTCCCCACCTCACACCCCACAACCCGCAACACACACTCCACAAACCCCGCAACACACGCTCCCCAAACCCCGTAACACACGCTCCCCAAACCCCGTAACACACACTCCCCACCTCACACCCCACAACCCGCACTTCGCAACACAAGCTCCCAACATCCCACATCCCGCAACACACACTCCCCAAACCCCGTAACACACACTCCCCACCTCACACCCCACATCCCGCAACACACGCTCCCCAAACCCCGCAACACACGCTCCCCAAACCCCGTAACACACACTCCCCACCTCACACCCCACATCCCGCAACACACACTCCCCAAACCCCGTAACACACACTCCCCACATCCTACATCCCGCAACACACACTCCCCAAACCCCGTAACACACACTCCCCACCTCACACCTCACATTCCCGCAACACACACTCCCAACACCCCACAGCCCTGAACCCTACAACCCACAATCCGCAGTCCAAACGCCCGGCTAGTTTATGCCCTGATATACAAATCTTCAACACATCGGAAGCGTGGTAGGCCCAGCTAGATTTGGGTTATACCCACAAACAGGCAAGTATTCAGGTAGGTATGGGCCTTTTGCGGTTTTGGTATTAGACAAATAGACAAATACCTGACTTGATATCGACATCTCGATGTTCAAATAAGGTCATACGATACCCACGTGACTCGTTCTCAAAAACACATCAGGTAACACTGTTCGTCGATTTACATCAAAGGAGACGATAAGGTCGAATTAACATTTAGTGTTAAAGCATCTTTACAAATATATTACAACATTACAACTCAAAGTCTATCCGTGCCAAGTTAATGTTGTACCGTTCAAGTGTTTATACGTCTAAAAAAAGGTCTAAATAGTGTGAATAGTGTTTTCATGATGCTTCAATCAGCTAGTGCGTTATTATGAAATACATTGAATATTTATCGATAAAAGTATTGTGGTTATTGCAGTTAACATCATCGCCATGTCGCTGTTTACAGTCTATTCATGCCCGGCTGTGGGTAAACGCTCCTTTCAAAGGACAACAACGTTCGTCACCTCCTTTACTTTTCAAAACAGCAGATACAGTATTTTCTGGTCAACTAGTACTTGTAAACTCACCAACGAGCGCGCGATATTGATATTTATCGATAATTGTTGTATCCATGGTGATATATATGTCAAAATACAACATAATTACATAACTTACATGACTTTTTATCCCGCTTTTTTTTTTATTTTAGTTTTTTATCCCGCTGTTTTCCACTATTTACAATCTATATTGTAACGACGCTAATTCAAGCGTCATCATCAGTGATCCGAACCAATCGACCATTCAGCTTATTTCGTTAACTTCGGAAACAATTTATGCAGGTATGTAAAGTTTATAGCTGTCGCCAGGTTGTGTTGTATCATGTGATCACGTGCACGAAACAATTTCACGATGTATCTGCCATGGACGCTAATCTAAACTGTTTAATACACTTTAAACACTTTAATGTCAAGTTTGGTAATCCACTGCTCATGTCGGTCCCATTCTTACCCCCATAATGCGACCCTCGATTAACTGTTTCGCAAGGCTGTTTAATCAAGTCTCCAACAGGCCGAAGTAAAACACGCAATTCGAGAGACGTGATGCATCTCGCGGGACTTGTTCCCGGGTATGCTTAAGAGCGGAGAGTTGAGATTAGCCGGTACATGTGCAGGCTTTTACAAGACGCACAATCGTGCGTCCCGTACGCACAAAAGTAGAGAAAATGGACGCACAATATTCATGTACCTACAGCCCATCATCCCATGGGTACTTTGTATGAAGCCCATTTCTGGTGTCCCCCGCCGTGATATTGCTGAAATGGTGCTAAAAGCGGCGTAAAATCCAACAGTAAAATTTATTTTTTACTGAATCACTCACTACAGCGCATCAAGAGCATGACCACTGTCAACATGGTCATTGATTCATTCTAGGCTCTAAAGTAATTATCAAAACCCACAGTGCAATACACCATTTCATTACTTTAGGATCCTTATATTGCCTTCAAGGTCCTTCAGCATTAATCAGTTGGGGTCCTCTGAACCCCCACCTTTGCAAGTCAAAGTAAAATCTTGATGTGAGTGTATTAGAATATAACCTGGTACATTACACACACGGGTCTACATTCTCCAACTGTAGGGCGTAGTCAAATGGGATTGGATGGTGTTTGTTTGTTTGTTTGTTTGTTTGTTTCTTTTTTGTTTAACGTGAGTGAGTGAGTTCAACGCAACTTTGAACAGTCTTCAAGTTGTATCACAGCGTGTCAGACCCACGTGATGCTGACCTCAGACGTTTACCACTTCGGTGAAACCCGCGAGCACGGTATGGTGCTAACAAACCTAGAAACATAATCGGGGTGAACCAGGATTCGAACCCACAATCATAGGTTTCTGGTGTACCCAGCGGACACAACTCTGCACAGCGAATCGCGGCGGCTTAGCCGAATGGGACACTAAGATCACCTTCCTCTCTCACCTGCGAATACATATGGCCGCAGATAGGTGTATTCGTGACTCGCAGTAGTATGTCAAGCAATGAAGTGAGGCAATGTGCAATAACTCATGCAAGTCAAGGGGGGCACGGGTGGCCCAGTCGTCTAAGGCGCCGAGATTCGCTGTGCAGAGTTGCGTCCCTTGGGCACGCCAGAAACCTATGATTGTGGGTTCGAATCCCGGTTCGCCCCGATTATGTTTCTAGGTTTGTCAGCACCATACCCGTGCTCGTGGGTTTCACCGAAGTGGTAAACGTCTTAGACCTGCATCACTTCGGGCTTTCCTCCCACATTAAGCTGACACGCCTCGATATAACTGAAATAATGTGAAAAGCGGCGTTAAACCAATCTCACTCACTCATGCAAGTCAAATGATCCCTACTCTGAACCTTGTGCAAACCTTCCTTTTGCCTGACATTCAGAGCTGAAGCACATGTTGAGGGAGAAGTATTGCCGTTTGCGCAATATAATCTGAGAGCTCAATTGTCAGAACTCCCTGTCGTGTCCCTACTACTGGAGCCAGGCTGTTGCTTCATCTGACGTATGCATTATGCGTAAATAAATCCATGTTTTGTTTGTTTGTTGTTTAACGCCGCACTCAGCAATATTCCAGCTATATGACAGCGGTTTGTAAATAATCGAGTCTGGGTCAGATAATCCAGTGTTTGACACCATGAGCATCGATCTAGGCAACTGGGATACAATGACATGCATCAACCAAATCAGCGAGACTGACCACCCGATCCGCTTAGTTGCCTCTTACGACAAGCATCGTCGCCTCTTACTGCAAGCATGGGTTGCTGAAGCTCTATTCTACCCCGGATCTTCACGGGTCCATGAAGTATTGACGATGCATTATATGTACTTGAAGAGAAGTAAACGTCACTACTGATACATGCAGTTATTTAAAATCAACTTTTCTCTCTCAAAGGTTACTTCTGGCACATCACGGACCACCATTACGACACAACCTACTGGTCTGAAATGCGGTCCTGTAATGACGAAGTTCCGGTGCGGGGCATCTATGGCGACTACTGGTGTGACTCCCCCTGGCGGCTCGTCAACGACAGCATCAACGCCATGGCCGACATCAACCGAAACGTCGACTTCAGCCTGTGGACTGGGTAAAGCTACAAAGTTCCAAATAAAAAACATTCTTTCAATATATCAATGTGTGTTTCGAGTGTATATTTCTATCGTATTTGTCGATAGTGGTTGACAACAGTATATAAATGGAGTTGAACATGGGTTTTACTTGGGCCATAGCGCCTCGTGACCGTTTACTGTTGGGGGAACTCCAAGGTATTTCAGAATGTTCATATCTAACTGCACATGGTGCTTCTGAACGAAGGATCATTGTTGAGAAAAAATATACAATGTATCGTTTTGTGTTTTTTAATCCAACCATTTTTAGTCACTGAGTGATGAAATAAAGTATAAAAATGTTTGGAATTCGTTATCAAGATATAATAAAAGGAAATATAATGGTCATATGAAAGACATATTTAGACGTTTTGTATATTGAAAATTTCAGTCATTTTACAAATTGACATATTTTTACACAGTGACTGTACACCATCTACCTGTATTTCCACTGTGTGTTATTTGATAAATGTGTTATGACGTACATACACCATCTACCTGTATTTCCACTGTGTGTTATTTGATAAATGTGTTATGACGTACATACACCATCTACCTGTATTTCCACTGAGGGTTATTTGATAAATGTGTTATGACGTACATACACCATCTACCTGTATTTCCGGTGTGTGTTATTTGATAAATGTGTTATGACGTACATACACCGTCTACCTGTATTTCCACTGAGGGTTATTTGATAAATGTGTAATGACGTACATACACCATCTACCTGTATTTCCACTGAGGGTTATTTGATAAATGTGTTATGACGTACATACACCATCTACCTGTATTTCCGGTGTGTGTTATTTGATAAATGTGTTATGACGTACATACACCATCTACCTGTATTTCCACTGTGTGTTATTTGATAAATGTGTTATGACGTACATACACCGTCTACCTGTATTTCCACTGTGGGTTACAGCGACAACGTGGCTCACATCGAGGATCAATACACCAATGAGACGTACGTCGTGCAAATCCTCAGAAGTATCACTGACGCCCTGAAGGCGGCGTTCCCGGGGGTCAAGGTGTACGCCACAATGGGGAACCACGACTGGTACCCCTCCGACCAATTCCCCGTCGACTCGCAATCCCTGTACAACGCCACTGCCGACCTCTGGGAAGACTGGATTGGTGATGCAGAACAGATGGCGAACTTCCGTAAAGGTAGACAACCCCATTTCCAAGTTAGAGTGAGTGAGTATGGCTTTACGCTGCTTTTAGCAATATTCCAGCAATATCACGACGGGGGACACCAGAAATGGGCTTCACACAATGTACCTATGTCGGGAATCGAACCCGGGTCTTCGGCATGACGAGCGAACGCTTCAACCACTAGGCTACCCGACCTCCCCTCCAAGTTAGAAAGAAAATATGATCAGAATACCTCTTTGGATGTTTATGGTTCGCCCTTGACAGTCGTTAAACTCCAACTTGAATCAGTGTGATGTCATCGGAAGAAATCTTTTTCAGGAGTATGTTTACGGGTGGTGGTGTTTCTGTGTGGTTCTCCTAACACATCTGAGGAAACGCGGGTCTCCCGTGGTCCAATTGCTGTGTGGAGATTGTTGCATTGGTCGTGGTCCATGATATTGATTCTTGACTTTTAGCACCATACCTGATCTCGATTGCTTCAGCAAAGTGTTTGTTTGTTGTTTAACGCCGCACTCAGGAATATTCCAGCTATATGACGGTGGTCTGTAAATCATCGAGTCTGGACCAGACAATCCAGTGATTGAGATCATGAGCATCGATCCACGCAGTTGGGATACGTTTACATGCATCAACCAAGTCAGCGAGTCCGACCACCCGATCCCGTTAGTCGCCTTTTACGACAGGCATAGTCGCCTTTTATACAAGCATGGGTTGCTGAAGACCTATTCTATCCCGGATCTTAGTGATTGAGTGAGTGAGTGAGTGAGTGAGCTGGATTGTACGCAGTTTTTTGCAACACTCTAGCAATATATTAAGCTGAAAGGTGAACCTTCGTTTAATGCAGGGTTAAACCAAACAATATTATGTTACGTAATTCTTGTCTATATTCATTGCGTCAAATGTACAGACGCCTACCACACAGTGAAGGCACCTCAAGGATTAAGGATCATAGGACTGAAAACAAATATCTACTGCAACCATGATAAACCGACATGACCGACCCTGCTGGTCAGTTAGTCTGGCTGGAGGGAGTCCTCCAAAACGCCAAGACCGCTAGCATTTCCGTCAGTACTTTAGTCGGGACGAGGACAAGCAGCCTCCCCCCCCTCCCCCGAACGCGACGTAAAGCACTATTTAACCTCACATCACCGACACTTTCAGTTAACAAATATCTTTCGCATGACGTGAAAAGATAACAAACGGTATCCTGCATGTATGATAATAATATGTTTATTTAATAAACACACGATGTAAATACGTGAACAAGAAGTAATATACAAAACATCTCATTTGTTACAAAATTAATAGTAATTCAGACAATGGAGGTATACTGCGGTTACCAAACAAAAGGCATTATGAATGTCATGTAAATTCTCGGGTATTTGGTCATGAGCAAGGGAGAAATCTTTTATTTCTTATCGAGAACCAAAGTAACGCAGAAGGTCAACTTTTAATTTTTCTTAAATGGAACACTGCAATTCACTCACTCACTCGCTCACCCTCACTCACTCACTCGCTCACTCACTCACTCACTCACTCACTCCCTCACTCAACCTGGTTTAACCGAATCAGTGGGATATGTTCGTGAAAGGATGCTAGAAACACTGAATATATACACGATGCGAGAAATGAAACATGTGAAAGAAGTAAAACAGCCCAATGCGCAGGTTTTAAACATCTTTGGGTTTTATTTGTTTTCAAAGACTGCCATAGAATGATGTTATTAAGTCACACAGATGTGTTACAGTGTACAAATATGGTAATGCACACAAAACTAGTGAATATGGTTTCACAACAATGACTCACTGAAACATTTGTTATTGTTTTCAAGAAACATTGGGTATAAAGCTGACACAATCATAATGGTATACATGATACCGTTGACATTGATGTATCTATAGTGGTAGAGTTACTAATATTTTTCATAATTAATATTTTCAAAGTAATTCCTACAATGTTGTGATATTATTTTGAAATGAAGTAGATCTGCACATGGCAGACATGCAGGTATTGATAAAATTGAAACCGACAACGTTTATTATTCTTAACCATAAACCATACTTCTCCATGAGAGTTACCTCCCGAATGGTATGAAACGTCAATTACTCACACTGTACAAAAGTGCTAATATCTCGCTACACGGAAACTGGGTCAACGTTTCCCTAATATGAGCCCATAGGCCTATTCCCGGCTATCTCGAGAGGGAGACCTCGCTAGACAGAAATGGATCAACGTTTCACGCCCAACTGCGGGTCTGTCTCCGTCCTTCTCCACAGGCAGACATTTCAACGCAGCGAAATGCTGTATGAGGATAGAGGCCGGAAAGAGTTAGATTGGTACCCTGCACTTCGCCTCGCAGCGGCTGCAGGCGAGGAGCGCAAGCGCTCTATGGCAGGTAAACCAGTCTAGGACAGGACGTGGCTCCCTGTTGTGATTGTTGCCGAATAACATAAACATGTTTTGCGTAATAATTTACAGTTAGGAACGTTTTAAGAAATATTTTCAGTATCTTTCCAACGATTTTTCACCCCCATGATCCATGCCCCCATGCAATTTTCTCAAGCCCATAACAAATAAGGCATTGAACTGTCTCAGAAGCTAGTTTAAAGTCGTCCGGCATCCAAGATCTGAAATGGGCGTGTCCTGCCTGTGATGGACCCATTGGTCATCAAGAAATATGTTATTATCCAGCTACGTGAATTTCAAACTAAGGGTTTCGTTGTTGTATTATAATGCTATCCTGGTGTCATCATAGTATTATCCTGGTATCATCATGGTATTATCCTGGTATCATCATGGTATTTTCCTGGTGTCATCATGGTATTTTCCTGGTATTGGTGTGGCAAGTCTAGGCATTTACCATCTCCACGTCGCAGCCTTTTTTCAAGCCCCAGAGGGCATTCAATACCTTAGCGGCATAGACCTGATACACAAGGTTCAACACCGCGCTGGTCAGCGCGACGATGCTGTTGAATACGGAGAGGAGGCTGTTGGCAGAGCGATGTTGACCACCGCACGTCTGGCCGCCATCACCGGAGAAGCAGACGGCCATTGACCAGATAGAGAAGCTCAGATGCAGAAACCCAAGATTCAACGCCGTGCTCATACACGCCCGGACAGCCACAACCTAAACAACAAATAAATATAGTTATCACTGCCCGTGAAGAGATCACTCGTCTAATAAACATACAGCAAAGCGCGTGCTTATGCACTGCGGGAACAAGTTTCACGAACAAATATTGACAAAGTAAGGATACGATGTATGGATTGTTTGATAACGATGTTAGAACCTGCACCGAAACGTCGCTCCTAATTGAAATAAAGAAGTTGTTCATCCATATACTTTATCATTACTTCGTACTTCAACTTGGGGCGGTCGGGTAGCCCAGTTGTTAAAGCGTTCGCTCTTCACGCCGAAGACCCGGGTTCGATTCCCGACATGGGTACAATGTGTGAAGCCCATTTCTGGTGTCCCCCGCCGTGATATTGCTGGAATATTGCTAAAAGCGGCGTAAAACCATACTCGCTCACTCACTCACTCACTCGTACTTCAACTTCTAAATGCCTCTCAAACTAAATATTAACAGATCTCTACTTCACTACGCTTATTCAACGACATTGCGTGCAGAGATGACAGAGGATATTTTTAATGTGTCTCGAGGAGCCACGAGTGAAAATTTCTGGTGCCCCCGTCACGAGATGATAGATACATGATATTTCACGAGACACGTGGAATATCCTATATATTATGTACATTTTGTGTAGTTTTATGTTATGTTATGTTTTATTTTAGAATTACGTTTTTGTTACAAATGTAAAACCTAGTAACGTAAATCCTCCCTTTTCTACACGCAGGGAAGTTTCCCGACCCGTTTTAATTGTGACTTAAAATTAGTTCCGAGTTTGCAAAATCTTAAAAATATAACCAAAAGTCATATTTGAAAAATATTTGAGGTCACAAAAAATTCCGCTTTGCGAAAATAACAGTCTCGATTGACGAGTTAAATGAGAAATTTACAGCTTATAAGGAAACATTTTCAAGAGAATAACAAACGGCAGGAAGCGATTTTAACTCCATAAATGACCATCTGTCATCATTTTGCCTTGCCAATGTGGAACTATCGTAAAAAGGAATTCAACAGTTTGTGTATGGGCCATTCTTACGATTTGGTTCCGCCTAAGCGCAAACGAACATTGCTAAAAGAATTGACAACGCGTTGCGTAATGATACGTATATTCCCCAATATATATATATATATGCTCATGATGCCAATCACTGGATTGTCTGGTCCAGACTCGATTATTTACAGACCACCGTCGTATAGCTGGAATATACAAACAAACATGTGTACTATCAAATGAGGACAATTCTTCAAGACTTACCAGACACCTTATCTTGGATGGTATCTCTGCCTTTGCCTCCTTCAGCATCAGCAGCCCAAACACTCCGAACAAGAATATCTGTAAAAAATAACAGATAAGGTGGAACATCATTAATGGGAGAACATACGAGTGAGTGAGTGAGTTGAGTTTTAACAGTATTCCAGTTAAATCGCGGCATGTCAGCTTAATGTGGGAGGAAAGCCCGAAGTGATGCAGGTCTCAGACGTTTACCACTTCGGTGAAACCCACGAGCACGGGTATGGTGCTGATAAACCGATAAACATAATCGGGGCGAACCGGGATTGAGAGAGAACATCCGAAAATCACAAAGAATGATAGAATATACTAACGAAAAAAGAACTTGTGAAGATTTGTTGAATTCTTGTATAGGTATGGTGCTGACAAACCACATTGAATTGACACACTTTAGTGAGTGAGTTGGGTTTAACGCCGCTAAAGATGTATTTCAGTCACATAACTGCATGTCAGCTTAACGAGAGAGGAAAGCCCTGAGTGACGCACTTCTTACATGCTTGGAGGGCACGGGTGGCCCAGTCGTCTAAGGCGCCGCGATTCGCTGTGCAGAGTTGCGTCCCTTGGGCACGCCAGAAACCTGTGATTGTGGGTTCGAATCCCCGTTCGCCCCGATTATGTTTCTAGGTTTGGCAGCACCATAACTGTGCTCGTGGGTTTCACAGAAGTGGTTAACGTCTGAGACCTGCATCACTTCGGGCTTTCCTCCCACATTAAGCTGACACGCCGCGATATAACTGGAATACTGTTAAAAGCGGCGTTAAACCCAACTCACTCACTCACTCTTACATGTTTACATGGTAACACTTTGGTGAAACCAATCGGTACGAGTATGGTGTTGACGAACGAAGGAACGTGAAGACGGGCTCATTAAATCAAACATTAATGTTCAACATTAAATACATAAATACATAATCAACAATGCATAATAGTCGTGACCATACATGAAGTGCCAATGAATCCAAATATTTTCTTTTTTTAATAATAGTTTTAATTATTATTAAAAAAAAGAAAACATTTGGATTGTCCATCAAAGGCTTACACGCGTTAAGCATTGGCAAAAGCAATTGAAGATTGAAGATTCGTACCAAAAATCCTGTGTATATTCCGGTACCGGAGGAGAACGGACTTTGTGGATTGGCAATGACGAAGACGACAGTGGGAATACCCAGAGACATGCTCACAATGCCGATGACGACGTTGATCACTGACAATGTATGTAGTGTAGGTAGTCGACCCTTGACCTCTTCAAGAGGTACGCAAGCTGTGAAAAAAAAAATTGGTTCAGAAAAAAGTATTTACATTTTTGTTGCTCAAAATATTGTCTGGGTGATGCTTTTGCCTCAGAATGTTTTAATACCTTTCATCGCAGCAAACAGGTCAGAACTGTTTTCTATAGTGATAATTAGACCTAGTTTAAAAAAAGACTGACAAGCGGTGTTGTCAGAGAGGTTCGTTATCTCGGCTCAGCGGGGGGGGGGGGGGGGGGGGATTTCAACCCAATAAATCATGGATTTCTATATAACTTATATCAATTTGAGACTGTAATTTGACAGGCATATATTCGTGTACAAGAACTTGTATTTCTCTATCTACAACGTACATTCTATGTATGTGATATAAATTTATTTGAGATGTGTGACCAGTGTTAATTCCCTATTAAGGGCAAGCCCTATTAAGAACTCGCAGCTGTTATTTGCCAACCGCTATCTTGCGTCAATCCCTATCAAGAACTAATCCCTGCTAAGGGCCAACCTCTATTTAGGGCCAGCCTCGATTAAAGGGACAATATCTATATAATGGGCTAAACGCTATTAAGGGCCAACCGCTTTTAAGGAAATGACCTTGGGCAGTGCGTTGAAATAGGAGCTGGTCTCTAATAAAACGCGAGTCAGCTACAGCTAATAATTTCTCCCCCGTAGATTTGAATGTCATACAGTTTTCTAAACTGAGCCGTCCCTTTTTTCCGCACAGATACGAAACGAGTGAGTGGGTATGGTTTTACGCCGCTTTTAACAATATTCCAGCAATATCACGGCGGGGGACACCAGAACCTTCACACATTGTACCCATATCGGAATCGAACCCGTGTCCTCGGCGTGACGAGCTTACGCTTTAACCTCTAGGCTACCCGACCGCCCCTGAGACACGAAACGAAAAAAGGCCGGACCTTTCGTAAGTATCAGGTCTCACCGTAAACTGAAATTAATAAGGGCTGGGCTCTTAATTGAAGAAATATGGTATATGTAACTTGATTGTGATTCATAAACACATACTTAGGAAATAGTCGGAATATTATAATTGACTCGCGGATTTCGTAACACGGATTTCGAAAGACGCTGACCCATTTTCACATGTTATGCTTTCCCAACCCTGACTGAAATCAAGGCCCCGATCCCAGCGTTCTATCACAGACTCCATCTCATAGATCACAATGCTCGGAGTATTACATTTCAAGCTGGAGTGACCTGGCTGCTACGCTTGGAAGATTCTATACAGTGAGAAAATGACCGCCATTGTTGACAGAATGATCCCGCAACGCGCTGCACCCTGAACAAGCAACAAGATGTTTACGTGTCGCTCGCCTTGTTTGAATGTTGCGAAATCACGGATTAATAAGAGATTCACTTCCTTACATTACAGCATGTCTGTTTGTTTGTTATCAAGATATAGCTAAATGCATATGACATGGAAAATTGTAAAACTCAACTATTCTCAGCATGTCACAATAGATGTCACAATAGATGTCACAATAGATGTCACAATAGATGTCACATAATAGATGACACAATAGATGTCACAATGGATGTCACAATGGATGTCACAATAGATGTCACAATAGATGACACAATAGATGCCAATAGATGTCACAATGGATGTCACAATGGATGTCACAATAGATGACACAATAGATGTCACAATGGATGTCACAATAGATGTCACAATAGATGACACAATAGATGACACAATAGATAGATGACACAATAGATGTCACAATAGATGACACAATAGATGTCACAATAGATGACACAATAGATGTCACAAAAGATGACACAATAGATGTCACAATAGATGACACAATAGATGACACAATAGATGACACAATGGATGTCACAATAGATGTCACAATAGATGTCACAATGGATGTCACAATAGATGACACAATAGATGTCACAATAGATGTCACAACAGATGACACAATAGATGTCACAATAGATGTCACAATAGATGACACAATAGATGTCACAACAGATGACACAATAGATGACACAATAGATGTCACAATAGATAGATGACACAACAGATGACACAATAGATGTCACAATAGATGTCACAATAGATGACACAATAGATGTCACAACAGATGACACAATAGATGACACAATAGATGTCACAATAGATGTCCTCGAAGAGCTCACACAGAATTGCGAACTGAACTTGCTAATACAGTACAGCTGTGTGACCTACACGGATACATATCATATCAATATAATATACATTAGCTCAGTTAAGTGAGTAATACGTTTATGCCGTTACGTTATAGGGATACAAACGTACTGTCGCGAGAACTAAGACATATACCATGTCTCCACCGAAACAGTGACCAACCATGGGACGAAAGTATTTACCCGTGATCTAAGAAAACATTTGAAACATCCCCACGTTAATTACCTAATAACCTGTAGATCTACATGTGTCTACATTGTGAGATGAATTTTAGCCAGTTATAATAACCCCCCTCAGTGTATCACAACATCAATAAACGCATGGTGTTTACAACACACAGTATCGATCGATCAGCTGTGTTGCAAAGACGTTGCCATGCAACAACAAAAGCCTCTATTCCTGGTACGCCTGCACTCGCCCTAGGAGTGCAAAGGCTGCGGTAAAAGTCGGGTTTGGTCGGACCAAGGTTATTATTGGCTAATTATTCAGTTATAGACACGTTATCAACTGTTACAAAAACACAGTCAGATATATAACCTGAATATAACGATATATTTACACATCTACGTACATGAAGGCGAACATCGGCAGCATCCCATGGTGGGAAGAAATCAGTTAAACTGGTGAGTAGCTCACAGTACGACCGGGTGCTCGTTGACTCGCAACAACAACAGGGTGCCCGCGGCGGGCAGTGTGGAACCCCTGCCTGTGTTTGTCCGACCGGCCGAGTAATTGTGCAGGGGGGGTGACTAACCCATGGCAAATTGACCGGGCAATCTGAGGGCTTGTGATTTGTGAACCACTGCTTGATAAGCACCGGAGATCATATAATAGATGATATGGTCTCTGTAAGGACTAGTCATGGGTTCACGGCTGACTTTTAAGAAAACGAGGCTATGTCCAGCTTGATCGAGAGACAAATCAATTCGGGTGACAAGACATTGATTGAATATACGAATACTGAATGACACCTTAAATGTTTTGAGGATTTGTAATTATGTTTTTATTTAATTTGTATGTACCACTTCCTGGCAGTCCTTGAGGAAATGAACAATAAAATATTTTGGAAATCTGTCTTATAAACTTCTTTTACCTGATATTTTGTCCTGTATACTATTCCATAGGTAGCAAAATACAGGAGACACCGGTTGTTGGGATTTTCACGCCTGACTGGCTTTTTAACAAAAACGATTGGGTGAGTGGGAAGACCCGCTTATCTCCCTTGTTGTTCGGGGCCTGTTATTTAGTACTCAATCTACCCACAGATCAGTAGGACCCGTAAAGATCCGTGGTAGAATATGCCTTCAGCATCCTATGCTTTCCGTAAGATTCTGACTATGCCGTAAGCAAGTGTTTATGAATCGTTATGAAACAGCGATTATACAAGGTGTTCGTGCATCTTGCCCCATCGGTGGCACAAATGTTCTCTTCACAAGAGGTGAATGGAATGCCTAGGCCTGTTTGTATACCCAGCGTCAACACTGACGGGTCACCTTGGTATGTAGGTATACATGAGTTAATGTTTTTGAGTGGTTGAGCTCTTGACCCACTTGATTTGGAATGGTGTAAAGGGTAAAGCTTTAGCATGAGTAGAAATAGCCAACTATGTTTGAGGATGAATGCTTGTCTCGTTCCATGCATTGTAAACGGGGGTACGCCAGGGAGAACGTTTATCCCCACTCTTGTTTCCTGTACTGACCCAAATTCACAACCAATTCGAGAAACGTGGTCTGGCCTCAAATATATTGTTGATGCAGATAGTTCCATACATATACTGTAGTGAGGACACCAGCTGTGACCCACAGGTAATATACCTGTTGGCGCGGAGGCTCTGGTGTCCAATTAGCGCCATCCAGAAACGTATATGCCGTCATATATACTGCAAACCTTCAGTCCTGATACAAGCGGTTTTCTTCTGCTATTTCGGTGACCAACACCAATATCTATAGGTCCGCCCGTGTGCACCACGCATACGTTTCTGTGCAAACTCCTACCCCCCCCCCCCCCCCCCCCCCCCCCCCCCCCCTTTAAAAAAAGCTGTATCCGCCCATGCATCTACTTACATGAAGGCGTACATGTGCATGCTCCCATCGTCATAAGAAATCTAAACAGTCGTGCTTCCTCAGTAGATAACAATACGACCGGGGCCTCGTAGACTCGAGTCAATAATGAAGGTGTTCACGACAGGCAGTATATATACTGATCACCGCTCCGCGATGCGGGGTTTGGCTGTTGGTCGCTATCAATGAGTCGATTACGTAAGATAACTCAGGTGCGCCTCTTCACCCAGCCGTGCAAAACAGGCTCTTTAAATTTCGCAAGGCAGTTCCGACGTGCGTCACGAAGCCACGCCTACCTTGGATACTGTTGCTGCGTTAAGCAAGCTTTGGGGTGATGAGAAATGGCGGAAAGCCGAAATGTTGAATCGGTCCGATCGCTTTACCTCGTAACATTTCTCGAACAGAAAGCACCATTAGGGTAGATCGGGCATATTCCGATCCCCGGGGCAATTCCGACCAAGTTAGATGTTATTGACATATTTGAAGAGCCAATGTCATGTGGAGTCTGTTTTGAGAAAAGTGATGAAAACACATAATATTATATATGTTAATGAACTCTTTTTTTTCTTTTCTTTTTATCGATAAATTCCTAGACATCAGATCATTACAGCAGAGATATAAATGTTGTTATAAAAAAAACATTCAAAAAGGAAATAAACTTACAGTTTTAATTTGTGTAAGGGTGGAAAGGGCCAATGTCTGTATTTTGGCCCTTTTTTTACCCTCAGGCATTTGCATGGGATTTAACATGTGAGATTGAGTAACTACTACTGAAAGTACAAACACATACTATTGAAGTACATTAAAATGATTTTAAATAATGCCAACTTTGTTGAAATAGTTGAAAGATAATAATAAGGTTTCCAAACTTTCAAAACCTCTCTCAGACAACCAGTCTTAACCACACACGGAAATGAGAGCTAAAAGGGCCAAAATCTGGCAAAGTGACTTTGGCCCTTTTGGAACTTGACTTTGGCCCTTTTATATAATTTTAAGTAGCTATATTTCAAAAACGCATAAATGAAAACATACAACATTTTTTCTACGGGTAGACAAGAACTCATAGATGTTATTTATGCAATGATAAGCAAAAAGGGCCAAAGTGCATTTTGGCCCCTTTTAGCTCTAAGCCCTTCATTTGCTTATTCCTTTTAAAGGAAAGAACGGAGTCGGAATTTCACAAGACTATATTATCTTCAGTCGCCGTGATTAGGCTGGGCGTTCTGGCACGCCCGGGGCGGTGGGGTAACCAAGTGGTTAAAGCGTTCGCTCGTCACGCCGAAGACCCGGGTTCGATTCCCGACATGGGTACAATGTGTGTAGCCCATTTCTGGTGACCCCCGCCGTGATATTGTTGGAATATTGCTAAAAGCGGCGGAAAACCATATTCACTCACTCCTTTCTACCAACAACTATGTTAAGGGCATCTGGAGGACTCCCTCCAGCAAGACGAACTGACCAGCAGGGTCGGTCATAACAGCGATCAGTTTATCATGGTTGTAGTAGATATTTGTGTTCAGTCCTATAATCCTCAATCCTTGAGGGGCGGTCGGGTAGCCTAGTGGTTAAAGCGTTCGCTCGTCTCAACGAAGACCCGGGTTCGATTCCCGACATGGGTACAATGTGTGAAGCCCATTTCTGGTGTCCCCCGCCGTAATATTGCTGGAATATTGCTAAAAGCGGCGTAAAACCACACTCACTCACTCCTTTCTACCAACAACTATGTTAAGGGCATTTTCAGCATTTTACTTTTTGTTGCCCTGCCTGGTGCTCGACATCAAGGGTACTGCTGTCCTTGACGTTATACAAGTGCAATAATCTTGAATGCGACGCGACGTTAATTCAATTTCACCTCAGCTCAGCATAATAATCTGGGTTGACACAAAGGGATTACTGTTATAATGTGTTTACTGTCTTAAGAAGCAAGTGGAGACTCGGGTTAGAACGGGTCCCTAGCACTCTATGTTAGAAATAGTCGGGTGGTCAGCAGTGGATATATGTCACTCATAATATCCACCACTGGTTTGACTCGATTATTTACATGGGTCTTCTCAATGATCCACAATCGTTTCTTCGCAGTAAGATTGCGAGCTTTGTGTGAAACAAATAAAAAATATACTTTCGAAATTCCTTGTTATTACCATTGTACAGAAATAACACTCACTGCCTGAAGACTAATCAAGGAATTGGATTTGCAATCTTTCAATGGACTCGCGGATTTCGTAAGACGGATTTCGTAAGACGCTGACCCATTTTTACATGTTTATGCTTTCCCACCCATTGGATCACAATGCTCGGAGTATTACATTTCAAGCTGGAGTGAACTGGCTGCTACGCTTGGAAGATTCTATACAGTGAGAAAATGGCCGCCATTGTTGACAGAATGATCCCGCAACGCGCTGCACCCTGAACAAGCAACAAAATATGTTTTCGTGTCGCTCGCCTTGTTTGAATGTTGCGAAACTCAAACATGGATTAAAAAGAGATTCACTTACGTACATTACAGCATGTCTGTTTGTTTGTAATCAAGATATAAATAATGCATATGACATGGAAAATATAGCACTGTTGTATTCACACAAATACTGTCCTGAAATCGATTCGGCATGTGGTGTATCAAAATCCTAAAGAGGGAAAAGGGTTACAATATGATTATCGACAAACCGTCATTATTAATAACCTAGAATTATATTTTCCGAATACAACTCAACTATTCTCAGCATGTCACAATATATGTCACAATAAATATTTTATTTATCAACCCATCAACTCTCAATTTCTGTTCAGGCAGCATATTTTCCCTTCTACCAGGGGCGGTCGGGTAGCTTGGTGGTTAAAGCGTTCGCTCGTCTCAACGAAGACCTGGGTTCGATTCCCCACATGAGTACAATGTGTGAAGCCAATTTCTGGTGTCCCCCGCCGTGATAATGCTGGAATTCTGTTCAAAGCGGCGTAAAGCCATATTCAGTCACTAATATTAAACGTTTGTTCACGATTATCTTGTTAAACGTGGGGGTGTGGGGTAGCCTTTTGGTTAAAGCGTTCGCTCGTCACGCCGAAGACCCGGGTTCGATTCCCGACATGGGTACAATGTGTGAAGCCCATTTCTGGTGTCCAACGTCGTGATATTGCTGGAATATTGCTAAAAGCGGCGTAAAACCACACTCACCCACTCCTTTCTACCAACAACTATGTTAAGGGCATTTTCAGCATTTTACTTTTTGTTGCCCTGCCTGGTACTCGACATCAAGGGTACTGCTGTCCTTGACGTTATACAGGTGCAATAATCTTGAATGCGACGCGACGTTAATTCAATTTCACCTCAGCTCAGCATAATAATCTGGGTGACACAAAGGGATTACTGTTATAATGTGTTTACTGTTTTCAGACGCCAGTGGAGACTCGGGGTAGACAGGTCCCTAGCACTCTATGTTAGAAATAGTCGGGTGGTCAGCAGTGGATATATGTCACTCATAATATCCACCACTGGTTTGACTCGATTATTTACATGGGTCTTCTCAATGATCCACAATCGTTTCATCGCAGTAAGATTGCGAGCTTTGTGTGAAACAAATAAAAAATATACTTTCGAAATTCCTTGTTTTTATCATTATACAGAAATAACACTCACTGCCTGAAGACTAATCAAGGAATTGGCTTTACTCAAAGCCAAACAAGTATAGTGACACTGTAATTCTGACTAAAATTTAATTTCGTAAATCAACGTTTTGGAATCATCATACTATTTAACTTGAAATTCAAGCTCTAGGCACGATATTAAAACCTGTAGTGATGCAGTTTGGTACTGTAATGCATACCCGTGATGCGGTGCGCCTCCGTGGTCTAGTTGTCTAGTGGTAGAGCGTCCGCCCGGTGAGCGGAAGGTCCAGTGTTCGATTCCCGGCCGCGTCATATCAAAAGACGTTAAAAGATGGTACTTGTTGTTACCCTGTCTGGCGCTCGGCATTAAGGGGCTAAAACAAGGACTGGTCGGCTCGGAGTCAGTATAATGTGTCTGAGTGGGGTATTCATGTTAAACTGCGGCATGGTATCTCAGTGTGCTAGCACTATAAATCGGCATCAGTCCGGACTAGTACAAGCAGCCACACACACACACATGCATGCACGTCGCTATATAAGTGCAATAATCTTGGACGCGACGTTAAACTCCATTTCACCTCACCTCACCGGAAGAGGCGAATAACGGGATCGAGTGGCCAGGCTCGCTGACTTGGTTGATGCATGTCATCGTATCCCAATTGCGTGGATCGATGCTGATGATGTCAAATGTCTGGTCCAGGCTCGATTATTTACAGACCGCCGTCATATAGCTGGAATATTGCTTAGTACGGCGTTAAACAACAAACAAAAACAAACAAACAAACTTAAAGTGCTTGACGCATTGGCACATACCACTTTGCAGATTTGGATAGATCGTAACATCGTCAATGTAAATATAGAATTCAAAACACCGAAAGCGGCGGGTTTGTGCGCCCCTAAAACTGAAAAGGAGAATATCTTATTATGTTAAAAATATATAATTCGCGTTCAATCAAGGTCAATAGGATTCTTACATGTACACATTTTACCATTCGTATTTTTAACAACAGCAACAGCAGTAAGTTTTCTCGAAAAATGTATTACTATGTTTTATGATACTTGCACTTTAAATCATTTTTTTATTTTGTGAGAGTTGGGCAAGATTTCTATCTTTCAATGTCTATTACTTCGCCTATTTAAGCATATGACTGAATAACCTACGACGATTAAAAATAATTTATTTTGAAAAACACATTAAATCACTGAAAGAAGCGTTCGTAATAATTCCTACCTGCACTTTTGATGACGCATACTACACCGGCAGGTATTACCTCCCTTTGAATACCAACACCTCAACGACGGACCTGCAATGCTGTGGCCTCGGGACCGGTTGTAAATGACCCCAAATCAAATTTAAGCACTAATTTGACCCCATTAAAGTATTGTGGGGTGTTGGAAAGAGAAAATATAATTTTATAAAGTATAATATTTTTTTAATTACTGAAAATAGTTTTGACGTAACAATTTAGTAAAAAGTAATATTCCTTAGAAACAACAACTATATTCCTCATTTGTGGATTTTTGCGTCGGCAGATATATAAATAAGAATAATTAGAAAATGCATAGTAAGAACATTCTTTAGCGTTAGAAATTGGCACTAGTCCTGAATTCCTTGCCAAAATGCCCAATAGTTAGGTATCATAAAGACTAGTAGAAATTTGCCATTTTTAAGGGTTTTATTATCATCATAAGGACTACAAATGTAGGTTTCTACTGCCGCTCTTACTAATTACGTTGATGTATTAAACGTCTTGGTTCTACTCCACTATTTCTAATCGTGGGTGAGTTGAGTTTAACTCCGCTTTTATTCACGTTATATCACGGCGTGTTAACTTGATGTGAGAGGAAAGCCCGAAGTGATGCAGGGAACACGAGTACGGTGATGACAAACCTAGGAACAGGTGAAACGGGATTCGAACTCACAATCATAGGTTTCTGGCGTACCCGAGGCGCCTTAGACGACTAGGCCACCCATATTCCCTTATTTCGTATACGGGAAGTGACGTACGTGTTACATGTTAATGGGAACGGAGAGCTCGTCTGGACTGCATTCGTGACCAGCTCGTGTTATTCCGAGACTTCTTGCAGGTTACGGAAAGGGGCGAGTGGTTACGAATGCTGTGTATTGTCATCACCGAGCATACGTCGTATTGTAATGTGTCTGCTTCGTGACGTCACACATATTTCATATGCGTTACTGCGTAAGGATATTAGTGTATCTTCAATCTGAATTTCAAATGGGGAATTTCCAAAAATAATTGATGGTTAAGAAAGCATTTCTTCTTTCTTGTTGATAAGTGTTTCCGAACGAAGGTGCCCGATTGTGAAGCGTCCGTAAAAGGTGCCCACGTTCAATTATATCACGGCGTGTCAGCTTGATGTGGGAGGAAAGCCCGAAGTGATGCAGGTCTCAGACATTTACCACTTCGGTGACACCCATAAATAATTCAGGGGTTACTCAAGAAAATAAACATCACAATAAATATGTTATCGGGCTGTGTATTGACGCGTGAAGGTGAATGTGGTGTATCAATATCATGCGTCTTGTTTTCTATAAATTACATGTTTATACTACAGGGGACGCAACTCTGCATTGAAAAAATTTCAACGGACATCCTGGTAACAGAAATAAAATATTTTTTTATTCAAAAGAGCAAGTAAACACATGTATATTATATTAACAGACGGGCAAAAGAAGGTATACACTTGAAATTTGGATTTAATAAAGAAATGACACCTTCCACCGAAACGTTACTCGGCTGAAACAGTAAACAGTTGCCGAAACACAGCAAATTGAAGGTCCAAAACACAACAATGATACCCGCATCAAACACATCCCCATCGAATAACCATTCTTGTCTGTTTCATGATTAACCGCTGTCAAACATGGGTGTATCGGATTAACGGGTCTAAAGCACTGATTAAATCGGTTCCCATCATTTGTGTCGGATAAAGCCGATTGTCAGATAAACGAGTGTCGGATTAACCAGACTTGACTGTACTTTCGTTTAGCCGGCAGTATATACAAGGCAATATGAACACATGAAACATGTTAAACCAGTTGTTGCAGTATTTACACAGGTATGATAGGGCACCTTTCCTAATGAGTATAAACAATCAAATGGCAATAGGAGTATTGAGGTAGTGACACTATACAAAGTGTCGTAAGAACTGCAAACGTTGAGCATACATCGTTGTTGTCTTCTCTGTGATGTCTGACCATTGGTATATATGATTTATATACACATGCAGCGTTTTAGCGAGTGAGTCTGCTTTTACGCCGCTTTTGGCAATATCCCAGCAATATCAAGGCGGGGGACACCAGAAATGGGCTTCACACATATATTGTGCCCGATTGGGGAATCGAACCCGGGTCTTCGGCGTGACGAGCGATCGCTTTAACCACTAAGCTACCCCACCGCCCCTGTAGCTTGTTATAATACACCGAGCACACTCATCAATGTGTAAAGGATAAGACTCGATAAGTCCTCGGTATCCTGTAAAATTTCAAATATAAGAATCGGATCATTTTGCACTTTCCGCCACCTGTCTAGCACCCCCGAGGTTCTATGGGGTTGAGACGAGCTGAGTGTGGGGTTTGGAAGCATGTCTAGGCCTTTATCGTCTCCACGTCGTCCTTGACCTTCCCCATTTTCCAGAATAATTTAAATGGCTGCCAGCCGACGACAGTGCTCACCAAGCATACCACCAAAATTGTGAGTCCTACGATCATATTGAACACGGCGAGTAGACTGTTAGCGGAGTGGTGTACTCCGCCGCACGTGGTGCCGCCATCACCCTTGAAGCAGATAACAGATGACCAGATCCCGTAGGCGAACTGGACTGCTCCCACGTCTATTCCCAGTGATAAAAACACTCGAAATGTGATCAGCTGGGGAGAGAAGAGAATATTGAATTCATAAAAACAGTGTTACAACTTAGCTGAAATTATTACCCTTACCTTCATTAAGTAAGTGAGTATGGTTTTATGCCGCTTTTAGCAATATTCCAGCAATATCACGGCGGGGGACACCAGAAATGGGCTTCACACATTGTACCCATGTCGGGAATCGAACCCGGGTCTTCGGCGTGACGAGCGAACGCTTTAACCACTAGGCTACCCGACCGCCCCACCTTCATTAAGAGCGGATTCTAATCTTATACAGGGGTAGCCTAGTGGTTAAAGCGTTCCCTCATCACGCCGAAGACCTGGGTTAGATTCCCCACATGGGAACTTTGTGTGAAGCCAATTTCTTGTGTCCCCCGCCGTGATAATGCTGGAATTCTGTTCAAAGCGGCGTAAAACCATACTCACTCACTTATATTGAACGTACAGTTTGTTCACGATTATCTTGCTAAAATTGGGGGTGGCGGGTAGCCAAGTGGTTAAAGCGTTCGCTCGTCGCAAGAAGACCCGGGTTCGATTCCCGACATGGGTACAATGTGTGAAGCCCATTTCTGGTGTCCCCCGCCGTGATATTGCTGGAATATTGCTAAAAGCGGCGTTAATCCATACTCACTCACTCACTCAGACAAATAACGTTTTAATAACCTTAGTGATATCTTTGTCCAATCCAATTTGGAAGTGTGTACTTTCTTTTGCCCGGTGAATTCAGTGAAACCCACGGATCATAGTTGGTATTAAGAGAGTATGAATGAATATGGTTCGTGTTGCTTTCAGCAATATTCCAGCAACATCACGCCGAGGGATATAGAGAAAACATATACATGCTGTAGTGGGAATCAGCGCTGCGAGCCAAAGCTTTATTCAATGGAAAAAGGCTACTTAAGTTTTAATGATAAAATCAGAAGAAGAAATATTTGGACGTCTACATCTCATTGAAAGGGTCATCTTTCCTTATCAAATCAAAAGACGTTTATTGTACAAAACGCCTCCGGCCCATATATAAGAGAGAGTTACGCATGCAGATACAATCATAAATGTTACGCATTGGGGTACACACGTTCTAATGTCTGCTTAATATAAAGAGAAAGATTTAATATATAAGATTCGTTCTTTGTCGCCAGCATAACCACAAGGCGTTTATTGGTGGCATTGCTACTAAATAATCTTTTATAAATTTCTTTCGAAGTTCGTTGTAAAATGGACAGACAAACACAAAATGAATTTCATTTTCTACCTCAAGATTACATAATGGACAAATTCTTAAACTGTCGCCATGGAAACTGTCGAGTTTCTTGAATTAATTATCTGTTTCACTGCCTACTTTGAAGATAGTTATGCTATGAAGATGTAACGTTATAAATACATTGAATGTAGTGTGGATCACGGTGTTGTTTTCGGATTTTTCAAAAGAGATATTTGTACAAAGTGTTTTTAGAACAAATGGTGTTTTAGATTAGTGTTCATATTCTATTGAAGGGGCACGGGGGGCCCAGTCGTCTAAGGCGCCGTGATTCGCTGTGCACAGTTGCGTCCCTTGGGCACGCCAGAAGCCTATGACTGTGGGTTCGAATCCCGGTTCACCCCGATTATGTTTCTAGGTTTGTCAGCACCATACCCGTGCTCGTGGGTTTCACCGAAGTGGTAAACGTCTGAGACCTGCATCACTTCGGGCTTTCCTCCCACATTAACCTGACACGCCGCGATATATCTGGAATACTGTTAAAAGCGGCGTTAAACACAACTCACTCACTCACTCCTATTGTAATATCACTTACTAGACATCGCAATCTCGCTGGGTCTGACGATTTCGCTTCATTCAGTGTTAATATCCCAAACATCCCCGTCAGGATAACCTGTTGAAGAAAGCTCGTATTTATAATCACAATAAATGTATAATAACCGTACAATAATTTTATTGAGAAAATAACGAAAAGGGAATCATAGAGTGAGGTGCGCGTTGCATCGTCTTAAAATAAAATCTGACGACGTAACTACATTTAGGTAAGCAATCCCTGTCGTTCTGAGTACAATACCCGTGAAGATCCGGGTAGAATTGATCTTCAACCACCTATGCTTAAGAGAGAATTCATAAAATGATAACATAAATAAATCGACCCGTGAAGATCCGGGATAGAATAGGTCTTCAGCAACCCATGGTTGCCGTGAAAGGAGACCATGCTTGTCGTAAGAGGGACTAACGGACCGGGAAGTTAGGTTCGCTGACTTGGTTGATGCATGTCATCGTATCCCAATTGCGTAGATCGATGCTGATGATATCAATCACTGAATTGTCTGGTCCAGAATCGATTATTTACAGACGCCGTCATATCGCTGGGTGCGGCGTTAAACAACAAACAAACATACAAATGTTGTGAAAGACTTGACAACCTTTAAACGACCCTGTGATTGTTCACCAATGAGGAGGATCAACAAACGGTGAGTAGATGTTGTTAAAGGCCGCAGCTATTAATATTCCAGCTTTATCACGGCATTGGTCAAGCAAGTGGATGACAGCATGAGACATGATCCACGTCATCGGGGTTTGACACAAGTAGACAAATCACCAATCTCATTAAAATCAGACCGCTACCGCTAAACAAAGATCTGAAGACATCCCATTAGGGGTCACGTCAGAACGACCTTTCATCCGACAAATCAGAGCATCGCTTACCGGATTATGAAAGTGATAGTCGGAATGTGCTTGTACTAGTCCGGACTGATGCCGATTTATAGTGCTAGCTCACTGAGATACCATGCCGCAGTTTAACATGAATACCCCACTCAGACACAGTATACTGACTCCGAGCCGAACACTAGTCCTTGTTTTAGACCCTTCATGCGAGCGCCAGACAGGGTAACAACAAGTACCATCTTTTAACGTCTTTTGGTATGACGCGGTCGGGGATCGAACCCCGGGCCTTCAGCTCTCCGGGCGGACGCTCTACCACGGAGGCGGCTCATAGACAAGAGAGAAAAACAAACATTCCAATTCCGGTACCTCTATTCCTGTATATATTCCAGATCCGGACGAGAAGGGGTAGGTTGGGTTGGCTGCAGTGTACACGATGGTGGGAATACCGAGAGCGAAACATACTATACCGATGACGATCTTGACAACCGACAACGAATAGAGCACCGACAGCCGGCCGTTGATATCCTCAAGCTTTGGACCTGTGACAAAAGATAAACATCAAGCTGATATCTCCTTTTTCTCGATCATTGCTATCTCGACATGATATTTTACTCGAGGTGGGGGGCACGGGCGGCCCAGTCGTTTAAGGCGCCGTGATTCGCTGTGCACAGTTGCGTCCCTTGGGCACGCTAGAAAACTATGATTGTGGGTTCGAATCCCGGTTCGCTCCGATTGTGTTTCTAGGTTTGTCAACACCATACCCGTTCTCGTGGGTTTCACCGAAGTGGTAAACGTTTGAGACCTGCATCACTTCGGGCTTTCCTCCCGCATTAAGCTGACACGCCGTGATATATCTGGAATACTGTTAAAAGCGGCGTTAAACCCAACTCACTCACTCAGTCACAAGTAGCGATTGTACCAGCATCCGCTGATCCGATGGAATCTCGTGGGTTTGACTAAAATGGTAAGCGTTCACGATCCGCGTCAATTGAACTCTGTCTGCATTTAGCTGACACGTCCTGACTAAAATAACAAATACTGTTCAAAGACTCGTGAAAACCTTCCTCACTCATTCATTGACAAAACATAAACTCATGGAGTCGAGGTCACCAGCACTGTAAACGTTACAACTGTAAGACGTCATTCGTCAATGGAAGAAATTTGTTTCCAATAATTGTTAAACCAAGGTACCATTCCAAGCGAAACCGTTTTGAATTACAAATTCCAGATTGCGGAATCGTGTCCCGCTCTTTTAATGTAGACGTTCCTTATAGTAATCGTCGGGAATGTGAAAACTCCAGATTCACGGTTTCCAAGCTAATGAGGTCTCGCTGTGTGGACAAACAGTATAGGAATTGGTTTTCATTATCCAAGGTTACTTGGAACATTTCAAAAGTTTGATGTCGTGTACAAAACTATATTCCGTTAGTTTTGGGGGCAGGAGGTAAGGAGGTCTACACGTTTAACACCCAACAAAATCAACTTAACTGGATGCTTTAAGTCAATGAACAACATCTTTAATTGACATATTTTACTGTCTGTGTCAACAGCCCCACAAATCCCCATTTTAGGGGATGAAATACAAGAATGAGTTTGCCACTATCGGTGTGACTCGGTGTTCTAGAACATATTATTTCCTTATTTGAAGAACATTTATGAACATTTTTTAATACCAATTTCTGGGTTTTTTCTGAAATCTCATCGAGAGCTTGTAACATTTTCACAATTAAATTATATATTTGAAGTGTGCGCTGAGTACGTTGTGAACGATCCATGCTACATGATGGATAACTTGTCCATGAGGTCCATTTACCCTCGATTATCCAGTAGCGTTATAGAGTCCACGTTAGTCCAACATTTTCTTTATATCAGTTTCAGACACAGAAACAGTCATGAGACAGTGAAAGTACTATGTCTGAAACTGATGTAAAGAAGATGTGGGACTAACGTGGACTTTATTATTTTATTATATATTACATGTACACCGAGTGAACATTTGCCTCATTTTTTTTAAATATATATATAATTCTACATCAAAGCTCCTTCGCGTTGGGCGTAACGTTACATGAAAACTTTGATCCAGAGGATATACAGCGCAAAGAAATTGTGTAGCATACCTACCTACTGGCGACAGTAAACTCATGCTGCTATAGAGCGCAGATACATTCCAGACAGTGAAACAAATTGTAATCTACATGTGGTAGCATCCGAATCAGGAATGAGTACATGACGCATTTGAGTTTAAATGACTATGTATTATAAAAATAGAAACCAAACATATCACGTAAACGATGCTAGTAATGTTTTCACACAAAAATGGTTTCATGAAACAATGGCACAAGAGGTATTGATTTCTCACAGTCATAGTGATATACATGATACATATTTACTTTTAATTGAATGGAATGGCATAAAACTCGTTTGTTGGCACATCATATGACGGCAACATGTGTTGCATTGTCAAGAATTGAACGAACAATTATGGCAGTGAGACAATGACAGCACGGAATGGCATACAACATGTTTTGTATATCTACAGAGGTAAAGTTATTAATATTTTTTTCATGTGGGAGACAAACACAAAACAATATATATTTCCATGATGATTTATGCATTTCGCATGTACACATATCATTATATACGTGAGAGACAAAGATATGGTTTCTTTTCAAAATGTGTTTGCATCTATAATACTATTAATCATTCCATACAGTCTCATTTCCTTTGAACATTGTGCTCGACTATGACAAACATGTTAAATGTAATGGTTTACAGTTAGGAATGTTTTGAAAAATATTTTCATAATTAATTATGCATGTATGTACACATATCTTTATTCATGTGCGAGATAAAGATAAAGTTTTTATTTTTAAAGTTTGTTAATATTTTTCCAATTATTTCTCATCCCTGTGTTACTTTCTCAATCAAAAAACAAAACAAAGTATGGCGCATGGCGTCGTGCAATAATCCTATCTCTCCTATCCGTACCTCAGCACGGAATTTCTCTCGCCCATGGCAGTTATTTGATTGGCTGGACTGCCTCCAAACGTAGCCATTTTTGCAAATGGGTCCAGGGTATTCATCATGATTTAATAGAGATATGATACACTGGATGGTCGAGGTTGTGGTCTATTCAGGGAAACTAGTTATCATATGCGAACTGATATGTTGGTGAAGTTAAACTTCCTGCCGTTATTTCATATTCAGTTTCATAAGATAAGTTTAACGGTTAAATTAGAGTTGAATTAGAAAATGGACAATTTGGCACTTGAGATCTTAAGTTATATCGGGAAACACGATGTTTCACTTCTTTAGTTGTGCTTATTTGGCTCGCTCGGACAGTGTAAACATGTATACGGTCTTCACATTCAATGTTATTAATCATTATTAATTAAACTATATGTTATCAGAGTGACTGAGAGACTTTCAAACTCGCTGTGAACAATACTTCAGGTGTGTCACGGCGAGGCGTACTAAAATGCAATTTCGCTAGCCTGCTTTACTGAAAGGTCACACGGAGGGATATGAAGACCATTAATCATAATTCGGGCGAATCTAAGATTTCAACGTACGACCAGCAGATCCTTGCACGGCCAAGGGACGCAACTGAGTGAGAATTTTTTGGTTTTACTGTGCAAAGTTACGTCTCCTGGTCGGTCTGTTATTATGTGTTTTAATCCATGATTTACCCTTGTTATGATTCTTGGTTTCTCAGCTAAAAGTCTGCGCTCTTTGGTTTCAAGTTATTTAAAATAAACAAAAAGGTGACACGACCTGATATGAGTGAAATACTGTATAAAGCCGCGTCAAACACACTCACCACTGATTGCGAGTGAGAAGCCACAATGGAATAAGGCAACTTAACAACGCCACCCTAAACAGCCTTCGACGAGTGGGTCATCCGTGGTGTCGCTCCCCCCCCCCCCCCCCCCTCCCTTACACAGAGAGAGAGAGACTCCAGTCCCCAGCCTCCCTCCCTACACACACATATCCCCAGTCCCTAGCCCCCACCCCTTACACGGAGAGAGAGATACCCCAGACCGCCACCCACCCCCCCCTCTTACATACACAGAGCCCCAGACGCCAGACCGCACCCACACCCCCACCCCCACCCAACGACACACTCACATCCTACCGGGTTTGTTCGGACTGTAAATACATAAAACTACATCACGACATACGGCATGGTGAGGACAACGATTTGCTTTCCTAATAAACGTGCGTGACAAATCCACTGACACGAACTGAAACACCCGGAAGTACATCTACCTGCATCATATCCACAACACCCCACCCCACCCCACCCCACCCCACCCCCATCCACCCCATCCACCTCAGCCCCCACCCCACCACCAGATAACACAGTGTACGATTGTAGGGGATTCATTGCCGAGACTGAAAAGCGATCGCTTGTTAGATATTCTGGGCGCTCATAAAAACGGGGAAAATGACATGACATTTTGTGAAAAGCCTACATGTGTTTTAAAAATCGTATATCGTGACTGCGGTTGAATCTCTAGTGTTTGGTTTCCATCCTGTATGCTAAATATAGTTGGAAAACATTGTAGTGTGTTGACTGTGACTGTGTGTTAACGCAGTGGCCTCCACCGTGTTCAGTGTTTCCGTATCCGTGTATGTCGATATCAATTGACATCTGATAGGACCGTCATGTTCTTGTTCCGCATCATCAGTATCAGATAATTTAACAGTAACAAAAGTTTTCAGTATCAGTGACATTTGTAGTCAACAATAACCATGGTGTCCATGTACTACTAGTCCTGACTTATACCGGTTGTATTGTGCTTATAGCCCACTGAGATACAATGCCGCAGTTTAACATGAATTCCCACGCATATATATATATATATATATATATATATATATATATATATATATATATATATATATATATATATATGCACGCACGCACGTCTACACACACACAGAGTGAGAGAGGAAATTCTGATAATGGCACGCACGCACACACACACACAGAAATAGAGGAAATTCTGATAATGGCACGCACGCACACACAAACACACAGAAATAGAGGAAATTCTGATAATGGCACGCGCGCACGTCTACACACACACAGAGTGAGAGAGGAAATTCTGATAATGGCACGCACGCACGCACAGAGTGAGGGAGGAGATTCTGATAATTGCACGCACACACAGACAGAGTGAGAGAGGAAATTCTGATAATTGCACGGACGCACGCACAGAGTGAGAGAGGAAATTCTGATAATGGCACGCACACACACACGGAGTGAGGGAGGAAATTCTGATAATGGCACGCACGCACTCACGCATGCACACACGCCCACACACATACACACACACACACACACAAAGGTCATTCTGAAAATGAAGAGAATCTCAGGCCCCCTTTTCTGCGTGACATTTTAACAAACAAAGACTAAAAGACTAAATGTTAGTCGTCTTATTTAGCCTTCGAAATTCATGCTAGTCCGCGAGGCCGGAACTATTAATTTATCTCGAGGACAAATACAAAAATAATTATGGTAGCCCTCTTTGACTCTGACTACTTCTTAACCAGTTCTCACTGCTTCAATTTTGCTACAAATAGGAACTTAATGAAAACAATATTAGCGGGAATAGCCACGAGCTCAGAGGACTTGTGAAATATAGTGTACACCAATTCTCTGGATTTGTCGTATGAAAACGAATTCCTAAGATAGTTATTCCTAAACTGCAGGGCAAAAACCCTTTGCAAAAATAATGTTCAGGTCAAATCCAGTTTTCATGTGTATGCTTTCTTTTGGCCGTCAGTTTATAAACTTGCAAGTCATGCTGATATTCATGAAACCAAAACATGCTACCCTGACAACGCTTGCATTGATCACAGGGCCTAACAATCGTGCTGATCCATTATCGATCTCCTGCGGCCATTCTCATACACATCGCACGAGAAGTGTTGTATACAGAAGCACAGTGACACAGCAGTTTTTACCCCAATGACTTCTATTGGGGGTATTATACTACTACTACTGAGGGCTGGTCTTGTAAAGCGCTGTGCCCTGGACAAGCATTATCAGACTGTTTTGCCATGTGTCACTGTTACATTGTGGAAAGCAAATACGTATCCCTCTGATCGGGCTTTTAGGATATTTGATATGATGAAATATAGATTAATGTTACTACACACAAACTATCATTTAAATATTGTGGCTTTCAGCTTTAGCAATATCCGGGACGCCACGAACAGGCTTTACACACACGACCCAGGTGGGTGTCCAACACGGTTGAGCCACTATACCACCCTTACCTTGTTTCAATATATTATATTAATATCTTCGCTGTGCAGAGTTGCGCCCCTTGGGAACGCCAGGAACCTATGATTGTGGGTTCGAATCCCGGTTTGCCGCGGTGTCAGCACCATACCAGTGCTAGTGGGTTTCATCGAAGTGGTAAACGTCTGGGACCTGCATCACTTCGGGCTTTCCTCCCACATAAAGCTGACACGCCACGATATAACTGGAATACTGTTAAAAGCGGCGTTAAACACAACTCACTCATTCACTTATATTGATATCTAAATACTCGGGTAGTAGGGTAGCAGAGACGAAACCAGGCTTTTGAAAAGGGGGTGAACTCCCCTCTGAATGACAAAGTGACAAGAACGCATAATTCTTTGGCATGTGGTGTCTAAAAAGAAAGGGGTGTCAACTTTATGTCATGTTGGTCCCGTCACACGAAGCGACATTAGCATTAATACTATCGCCCACACTTTAACATATGGGTTGAACTACGAAAGTTGTAACACTAAAGTCTGATCTGGAAACATCAATTTTGAGTAATGTAATATATCATTCATAGCCAATACAGCTTATAATTGTAGACAGTACACAACATGCTGACAGATTTTCGCGTCCCCTCCCCTCACCCCCTCCCCTTACCCCCCGATATATAACGGTACAACAGATCTACCCACCCATGTAACATACTTTTACCTACCCGTGTCGCTTCCTTCCTTGTCTCCTTCGGCGGCTGCCATTGCGAGATGTAGTTATGATAAACCAACAGATTAAACCAGGCCCTCAGCAGATCATGACAGGATCCAAGTGAAACCCACACAGCAATGAAATAAATCAACACACCTCCGCTGACAACATAAACGAAACAGCAGGCCTCCGGATACGCTGACGTCAATACCTACAGCGGTGTATGAAACTCACCGGTCAATAAGACACCACGCTCCACTGCCCGCGAAACCTCAGCGGGTTCATATATAACTAAGTTTGTGGGGACAGAATTCGCCAGTGAAACGTCTTTGGCGAACTACGGATAAACGGGCGGTAAATATGACTGGTTATGTTAATTCTCGACAAATTCGATTTACGCTTGAAAAGATATACATGTGTTTAAATTCACTTCCCAGTCTTTATCTAGGGGTGTCATTGTGACTCAAGCTTTAACCGCATGTTTCCATGACAACGTGCTCGAGTTTGAAATATTGCTTCGTATTGTGTGAATGTAATCGCTGTGTATAGAGTGTATGTTCAATAGCAGTGATTCAACACACGGATTACTTAAATAATGCATTTACATGTAATTAGAGTGTCTGACACTTTCCTCCTTACATTTAAAAGATAACTTAATCCGTTGTCTGTTGAAAGACACAATTGTGATGTTAATAAATGGAGTACGGACTACAAGAAAACATGTTCTAAGTGAGCGAGTGAGTTTGATGCCACCCTTCATCGCTACAGCAGTCTCTCAGCGAAGTCTCAGTGAGTGAGTGAGTATGGTTTTACGCAGCAATATTCCAGCAATATCACGGCGGGGGACACCAGAAATGGGTTCACACATTGTACCCATGTCGGGAATCGAACCCGGGTCTTTGGCGTAACGAGCGAACGCTTTAACCACTAGGCTACCCGACCGCCTCTCTCTGAGACAGATTCGAACCATTATTTGACATGTGGACTAACCATTTGAAATTCTGATTTTATTACTTTTTATGTCAAGCAAACAATATTGTTATGGGCGTAAAACATGTGGCAAAATTGTTAGGTTTTTTTCACACACACACACACACACACACACACACACACACACACACACACACACACACACACACACACACACACACACACACACACACACTCACATCCACATACACAAGCACACACACACACATCCACACAAACACACACACGCACAAGCACTCAAACACATCCATACAAACACACACACACACACACACACACACACACACACAAGCACATACACATCAACACGCATCCACACAAAACGCGACTTTAAACACTACAGCACACCACACCACACCACATCACACCACACCACACCTCACCTCACCACACCACACCACACCACACCACACCACACCACACCACACCACACCTCACCTCACCTCACCTCACCAAAATAAATATTCTTTTTGTCAGTTCTTCGTACATTCGAAGCATACTGTAGACCTCTTGGGCCCCGAACTCGAACAGTAGCCTAGAAATTAAAGCGTTTTCTCGTCACGCCGAAAGCTCTGATTCCAATCATCATATGGGTACAACGTGTAGAGCTACTTTCTTGTCGTCTTCTGCAGCGATATTACAAACATATTGCTAAATGCGGCGTAAAACCATACTCATTCACTCAGACTCGGGGTTGGAATCACAACGCCAGTAAAGCAGCGGTGTGGGACTCCAACCTATCGGCTTCTACGTCATTGCTTCAGTGCATTGAGTCATAACCGCAACATTAAATATTAAAAAGATCAACAAAACCAATTTCGCAAATCAGTACACAATCCACGGTAATATTATGTTTGTATGTGTATCTTATAATGCACATTTTTGTAACATTGTTTATCACATAAAATAAACACAGTTGTATCATGTACATGGCAATTGCAATAACCATGTATTTCTGATATATTGTGAACAGGTGCCAATTGATATAACATTTGATAACGACCACATTCTGTATATTGTTAGTAAATATGTCGTTACATGTATAGTACCAGAACCTCAGGATAGGACTATAAATTTTCTGAATATAAAGAAATGAATTCGGTTCCCCTCGCATGGATTTTGAGGCAGTACCCTCAAATCCCGATACGGTCACTCGTCCTAAATGGTGAAGTGAAATGGGCTTTAACGTTCAAGATCATTGCACTTGTTTTGGGTTGGTTGGTTGGTTTGTTGTTTTACGCCGCACTGAGCAATATTCCAGCTATATGACGGCGGTCTGTAAATAATCGAGTCTGGACCAGACAATCCAGTGATTGACATCATGAGCATCGATCCGTGCAATTGGGATCGATGACATACATCAACCACATCAGCGAGCCTGACCACCCGATCCCGTTAGTCGCCTTTTACGACAAGCATAGTCGCCATTTACAGCAAGCATGGTTTGCTGAAGACCTATTCTACCCCGGATCTTCACGGGTTTTGCGACGGGACCATGAACAAAATAACATGATAACATTATCCTGAAGAAATACTCCGTTCCTACGCTGTGCGTACTTTGTGTTATCAAACTGAAGCAGTGCGTTATGAATAATTATTGTTTCTAGCTTCGTGACATTCGTGACCAACTCGTGTTATTCCGGGACACGCCGATTACGGAAAGGGGCGAGTGGTGACGAATGGCTCGGTGAATGAAATATTCACCGGTGAAAGTACACTGACGAAAATGTATCTGTGGTTGATGATCATTACAAATAGAGTTGGTCTGAGTTCCAAGCAAAACTATCAACATGTTACCTCCCCTGTACACAAATACACGTTCATCAAGAAGTCGATATTTTATGCGACAGTAACTCGACCATTGCCCTTATATCTTTATGTATGTAAAATCTATGTTGTATCAATTGTCTTGTAGAGGTATCTGCGGGCGGCGCTTGTACTAATCCGGACGATTGCCGGTCTATTAGTGCTAGCCCACTGAGATACCATGCCGCAGCTTAACAAGGAAACCCTTCTCGGACACTGAATACTGACTCCGAGCCGACCAGTTCTTAATGCCGAGCGCCAGGCAGGGTAATAACAAGTACCATCTTTTAACGTCTTATGTATGACGCGGCCGGGGATTGAACTTTCCGCTCTCTGGGCTCTCTGCTCTATTTGACATATTATACAATCTTAATTACACACGATAAGAGATCGTATATAAGAGAAACTGACCAATAAATGGATAATCACGAAGTCATATAGAACCATCATTATAAATATAAGCCATTGATAATTTTCGTCTAAGGCGCCGCGATTCGCTGTGCAGAGTTGCGGCACGCCAGAAACCGATGATTGTGGGTTCGAATCCAGGTACACCCTGATTATGTTTCTAGGTTTGTCAGCACCATTACCATGCTCGGGGTTTTCACCGAAGTGGTAAACGTCTGAGACCTGCATCACTTCGGGCTTTCCTCCCACATTAAACTGACACGCCGCGATATAACTGGAATACTGTTAAAAGCGGCGTTATACCAAACTCACTCACTCTCACTCACCTCAGATAACCGGCAAGTTACACGCAGAGAAAAGCCCACGAACTGGCTTCGCCACGGTTTGTTGTGCACTTTTAATTTCAATTTGGTTAACAGAAAATATATTCTCCATTACGTTTAAGGATAATGTACATTTGAAAAATAGTGGAATGAGGAAAATATTCTGTTATTTCCTGTTTGAATTAAGCCATTTCATATGAATACAGACCCTTTCAAGTTCGTCTTGGAGATAGAACATTATGGTTAGGAAAGACCACTATACTTTTCTTTTGAAAAAAGTGGGGAGTGAGAACAGTGCTTCATATAAAACAAGCACTTGTTTCTTTTTCCAGTGTGCACGGTCTTCCTACAGAACTGATTGCCTAGATTCTGTCCTTCGAATCAGTCCGTGATCTTCTTCAAAATGTGACCAAGACGTGCAGATGTTTCCATGACATCATACAGTCTGTTCCTAATTTGTGACAAAAATGTTAATCTGTCTGATGAACACTTTTCAGTGATTGAACTCCACCACATACTGCCGAAATCAAGGCATTTCCAATCTTTGAACCTTCGTCGAGTAACATTTAAAGAAAGTGTATCTGTAGCTGACTATTCACTGACCCTGGGTCTCTTGCGAGCTGAACAGCTACAAACATTAGACCTCTCCCATGTTAAAATTTCAACACTTTCCTTTCTTGTCAGTCTTACAAATATCAAGAGTCTGCGACTGGAATACTGTCATCTGTTACTTAATGAAGATTTTGAAATTATCAAGTGATTGAACTCCACCACATACTGCCGAAATCAAGCCATTTCCAATTTGAACCTTCGTCGAGTAACATTTAAAGAAAGTGTATCTGTAGCTGACCCTGGGTCTCTTGCGAGCTGAACAGCTACAAACATTAGACCTCTCCCATGTTAAAATTTCAACACTTTCCTTTCTTGTCAGTCTTACAAATATCAAGAGTCTGCGACTGGAATACTGTCATCTGTTACTTAATGAAGATTTTGAAATTATCAAGTGATTGAACTCCACCACATACTGCCGAAATCAAGCCATTTCCAATTTGAACCTTCGTCGAGTAACATTTAAAGAAAGTGTATCTGTAGCTGACCCTGGGTCTCTTGCGAGCTGAACAGCTACAAACATTAGACCTCTCCCATGTTAAAATTTCAACACTTTCCTTTCTTGTCAGTCTTACAAATATCGAGAGTCTGCGACTGGAATACTGTCATCTGTTACTTAATGAAGATTTTGAAATTATCAAGTTTTGTCGGAAACTTCCACAAGGGAAAATTCCAATATGTACAAAATATACAATTTGTATATTTGATTGGCGGTGACAAACAATCTTTGCATACTGTAGCCATTGAAGCTGGGGTCCTAGGCCGTGTATTGTGTAGTAATTCAAGACTGTGAGTTCAGATTGTTTCATAACTTGAGCCTTATCACCATCTCATTAGTAATCTTATATGATCTCTGTTTTTAAGAAGTAGTTTGCACCTCCCCCCCAAAAAAAATCACATACAAACGTCGATCAATGGATAGCGCGTATTTTTGTGCCTAGGTCACTTGGACATTATTCAGCTTCATAAACTGTTCATAAGAAACATGTCAGACAGCTTTGACATCATTGATGACTTAGTCTTATGAGATGATGTTAACATTAGGGGAAATGAGCTCAAGTAAATACAGAAACAGAGGGTCTAAAATAGCGACAGTGTTAAGCCCGAAAGTCTATTTAGGATTTAAATTGTGATTAAGGACGTAAAGGGTAGAGAGGGAACACGATTACAAATCTTAACAAAACCTAACTGCCAAACAACCTGGG